TTTCCCCCATTTCCCCATGTCTAGTTGCATGGGTACCATAGTTTCATGCGAGTGCTTGCATATATAATCGATTTGTATAGTATGTACTTTTATTGATTAAATTCTATTTTATCCATATATTAAATAAATATTATCAAAGAAAGAATTTAAAAATTCAATTATAAAGTTCAATTACAAGGACCTAAAACTAAAACCCCAATAATAAAAAACTTCGGAGCACTTTTTAGTCTGGTAAGAATTCCAAGATGTTCCATTAAAACTCAATGGAAGCTTTAGATTGCACATAACCTGGCCAGACAATCTACGAAGTTTTTCCTGGAAAGCAACCACCACGTCAATACTGTAAAGGTTAGTAGCATTGGGAAGCACAGGTTCCTTAAACACCCTTGAACAACTGCATTCTGAAAAATGCTTGAACTGTTGGGGTTTTGGTCAAACGATGTTAACCTATCCATCAAAGTCACAAGATCAAATCTCTTGTTTTGATAGTACGCAATGACTTGGGTGTCAATCAACTCAAAGTGGAATTTCTTGTTAGGGTTTGTGAGGGTGAGGTTGTAAGAGAGAGAATGGTTGGTTTCGGTGTAATTGAATCGATTGAGCTGATCACCGCTGATGCTGAATTCGGGGACTTTGTATGTCTCCGTACCCTTCATACTCCTGCACTCCAAAGCTTTGTTAAAGAGAAATGAAAAATCAAGTGCCGTGTATTTAACTTCGGGGAGAAAGAAAGAAATCAACCGTATTCAAAAAAGAAAAATTCTTGTATGTATGTTATTAGGTAAAAAGTCACGTACAAAATGGGAGGCTTTAGGAAGAGATTTTGAATTAATCAAGATTTGGAATGAGCCTAAGCATAATCCTAAGACTGAGGAAACAAATTTTAGTCAACGTTCATTAGGTCGAGAGGCAAACTTGTTGGTAGGAAATTAGTTTTGATGATTGACTTGAAAAATAGCAAGTTATATCCAATCTTTTGCTATATAAACCCAAAAACATAAATAAATAATTGCATACTATTATCAATAATTGTTGTACCCAAATATTGTTGTAGACCTTAATTGAGAAAAGCTTGACGATTATTGAAACCTGAAACTGCAAATAACTCAGACATATTACAGTTGCATATGGAATTTGTAACAAAAACATATAGTTACACAGAGAAATTTATTTCCTTAGCTTAGGAGCACCCGACAGGTTGGAGCAACTTAGGAGAGCAACTCGCTATCACATTCAAACTTAGCCATGACTTCCTCCTCCAAACTAACATAAGCCTCTATTCCACCACCCTCTTTGGTGTCCATGAAAAGCACAAGGTTCTTGTAGGTGAGTGCTGGTGAGCCGACCCATGTAGGCCTCCCCCAACCAAAATCATTGTCATAAAGAGGAAATCTACAATAGCTACTAAAGCTAAGTAATGTAGCCATCTCTCCTCTCTTAAAACTATCAGCTTGTTTTTTAATCACACCTAAATGCTCATCACCTTGCTTTTGTAATATCTTTACGTACTCATTATCAATATTGTCTATTGCTTCTCGTACCACTGGGATCACCACGCCGTGACCACATTCTTCATCGCTAACACCACTACTTGGAATTTGCAGTGGAGCTGTAATGGCCAAACGAAAAAGATTCCCAAAAAAACTTTGAGGCAATGGTGGATCAAACCTCGGACGCAAGTTCACAGCATGTATCACCCTGTACAACTTATTCGAGGTGCTATCCTTTGTAGCCGCAACAAACCGACTCCATAAGAAAGTGGATAAGGTTTCCACACGTGTTGGGCGTTTCTTCATATTGTGCATACTTTGTTCATATCTTTCTCGGAGGTTCTCTATTTGAGAGGCGGCAAACACAAACCGCTTTGTTACTCTATCCTTTGTGATGCCAACGCTACCATCAAATCCAATATTAAACTCCTTTGGTGGGAAGAGTGTGGATGAGACAAACTCCGGAGGGTTTATGTTGGCTTGGTCTCCACGAGCAATGGCTGCCCAAATTTTGCTAAACATGAAATACGACAACCCATCAGCAATCTTGTGAGAAATGCATTGACCAATTGCAAAGCCTCCACATTGAAATATGTTGAGTTGGACCCCTAGGGGCAATGAATTGGTAATATCATCAAGTTCAAAGGGCATGAACTTGTTAAGCTCACCAGGGATAGGGTTGCTGAGAACATCAGAAAGTGTGCAATCTAGTACTCGAGCTTCGACGAAAGGGATGCCCTCGTCATTGCAATGTATAAACTGGTTGTTCTTGATGCGTCCGGCTAGAGGGTAGAAAAGGTTTAAGACCTCGCATAATGAGTTCTTGAGGTGGTTGGATATTTCAGTGTTGTTGGGTTGTGTCTTGGCATTGTGTTCATAAAAGAGGAGCAAAGGGTTGTAGACTTGGGGAGCTATTTGATCAAGAAAGGAGAATTGGTAGTGGCGAAGATGGTCAAGGGTTGGAGAAGATGGTTTGATAATCTCTTTGGAGATTACTTCAACTTCAACCTTCATGATCTTCTGCTTAAGTTCAAGTACCTTGGTAACAAAACAATGAGGGTATGTTTAGCTGTGATTGTATGTGGTTTGTGTTGCTCTTCAAGGAGACTTATATAGAGCTAAAGGGACTCCTAGTAGCTCCTAATAATTTAATGTTGCTTTAATTTATGATTAGTTAAAAAAAAAAATCATTAATACTAACTATTTTTTTATAAAGATTGACCAATCATATTGAATTAAAAAATAACTATAGTATTTATGACTCCCTAAACTAGGGAGTATGATTAAACCCTAGCTTCCTATCTCCCAAAACACCCTCCTAGAGCCGTTTCACTTTGAGGGGAGAGGAAGCCATTGTTCTTTCTCTCCTCTCCCCTATTCTCTTCCTCCCTCTCTTCTCCCCTCATTTTCAAAGACAAAAGGTTTTCCCTATTTGTCTTCGTTTTGTTATATGATTTTTCTCCAACCATCATAGGCGGCTGCGTTTCGGCGTCAGATCTCCATCACTATCATTTTTGCAGTTTCTTTATATTCGGAATAAGTCACAGAGACTATTTGGGTTCTCTGTGTAGTTCACCTCTCTTTTTGTGAGAGTTTTTCACATCTCCTTTGTGAGAGCTTTTCTTCTCTCCTCTGTTAGAGCTTTTTTCATCTCACCTTTGTGAGAGCTTTTCATCTCTCCTTTGTGAGAGTTTTATTTGTAGTGTTATGGCTTGGTTTTTTTCAAGCTTTATCTCTTTTCGATTACTCTGAGTTAGCAATCTTAATTGGGATGCCTATGCCAGAGTTTCTTTGATCCTGGGTGATCGTTAGTAGAGGCACACTAGATTGTCTTAATTTTGATGTTAGACCACTTTGTTATTATAATGGCCTTTTGTGGCTAATGACTTTTTTGGTTGAATTATGAATGCAATCCTAGAATATAAAAAATAATAATTATTAAAAAAAAAACTAAGGAGTATGATTGGAGTTCAAATTTTATAACGAGCTCATAAAATAACTTTTTTGTATTTTTAGCCAAATTTTAACTAAAGAATAGTGAGTATGATTATAGATGCTCTTAGTTGTTGTTTCTTTTTGGGATTTCCCCCCTCATATTTCATAAATAAATAAAAATTTAATGAATTAACCATACTAGTAAACCAACTCTATTCAAGCTTGAATTAATGTGTAGCTAGCCCATTTATATGTAATATTGGACTTATCTCATTTATGTGTCCTTGGGGTTCTCTGTATATTCATGGGCCATAACTGACATTAACGCGGTTGAAAATTTTCCATCTCTTTTAAAGTAGTTGAAAATTGATTAGATATTTCTAGCTAGCTATAGCTGATTCATTCAAGGCAGCATTCAATTTAGTTGTTAATGGTTTTATCACCAAGTACTAAAGTCAGGTCTTATATGGATAGCAACGGCAAGTTAACTTCAAAGTCCAAATCCAAACAATTAATATCAATACTTGCTTGCATAAAACACAGAAATATATAGTCAATATACCAAAACAGATCAAACTTAGCAGTCATGTCTAATCTGTATTGACCCAAACAGACCTAATCTGTCATGTCAAACTTAGCAATCCCATTGCTTAAAAGAAATGTGAGCACGTGATGACCCAAACAGACCTTAACAATAATCCAATTCTGAGACTGAGATGGACGTGAAAATGATAACTTTTTATCGACAAAAAGATAAAAAGTTATTATCTTTCCCATATTATGAAAACTAATCTGTATTAATGAATTCACATTGGTAAACACACTGGTAATGTGTATGTAAATACCTGAGGATGAGCTAAATATGAATTGATATAAAGTTTAAATACCTATGTATATGGGCTGAAATACAATTTAAGTTTCAATGTGGAGTTAATACCTGAATATGAGGTAAATACGAATTACGCACGTGTAATACCTACAACATAGGTTGAGAAGCAAATTGAAATGCAATTCGTATAGGATACCATACGTATAGATATAGTATACATATAAAGTGAAACATAAAAGAGCCAAAATCGTAAACAAACAAGCATCTTACCTTTCTTACTTATTAAATAGGTCTTTTAAATTTGTTATAATGTGGTTCCATCGTTTGGGTTTTCATCAGATATCATCGTTAGTTGCTTAAATATTATATGAATATTTTCTTACAACTAAATATATAAAAAAATAAAATAAAAATGTAGGACTCATAAATGTCATGTAGGAAACTAACAGGAAGATCTGATGGAAATAACTCTAACCGTAAAACCACATTGTAAAACTTTTTAAAAGACCGGGGTATGTAATTGAAAAAATTGGGAAGATAAGGACTAACATGTTGCAAGGGTGTAACCACATGATACTAAACATTGTCACTAACCCAAAAAAAAATGAACTACCTAGTCTCCCCATACTAATAACACCATTCCCAGCCCTGTCTAAGTAAGGCTCAGTTTGGAATTGCTGTCACTTTTAAAAAAAGTTGCTTCTGCTGTGCTTTGAAAATAATTAGTTGTAAAGTAAAGCAGCTCCATGTTTGGTAAATAATATTTTTAAAGTGTTGTTAGTACAAAAAGCAGTGTCAAAACCGTTTGGTAAGTTTTAATATAAAATTGTTGTAACTGTGAATAATGACTAAAATAGACATGATGTTAAAAGTGTTATGTACTAATCATGTGGTAGTAGTGGTAGTTATGGAGTGGAGGTGGTGGTGGTAATGAAGGTGGAGTTTGTGGTTGTGGTAGTGGTGGTGGTGGAAGAGGTGAAGGTGAAGTTGGTGGTGGTGGTGGTGGTGGTGGTGGTGGTTGTGGTGGTGGAGGTGAAGGTGGAGTTGGTGGTGGTGGTTGTGGTGGTGGTGGTGGTGTGGTTGTGGTGGAGGTGAAGGTGGAGTTGGTGGTGGTGGTTGTGGTAGAGATGAAGGTGGATTTGGTGGTGGTGGCGGTGGCGATGGCGATGACGGTGGTTGTGGAGGTAATGAATGTGGTGGTGTAAGTGGTGGAGTTGAATGTGGAAGTGGAGGTGGTGTTATTTTTTAAAATGAATGATGGTATTTTGGGAATTAAAAAAATTCATTAAAGGTTCATCTCTATTTCTTTTGAAAGCAGCTTTGAATAGCAACTCATAGCCTGCTTTTAAAAGCTGTTGTCAAAAGGCCACTGCTTTTAAAATAATCGGGATATTTTATTTTTACCAAACACCTTAAACTGCTTAACTTTAAAGTGATGCAGGTTTTTGACGAAAAAAAGCAATCCCAAACGGGGCCTAAGACTGAAGCCCAATCTAAATTTTTTGGAACTTTTCCCTACCTATATACCCAAGACCAATCTTCTAAGAGAGAAAGAAGACCCAAAAAAAAAAAAAGAAAAAAAAAAAAAAAAAAAAAAGAACACAATAAAAGAATAATAAAAAAAAATCACAAATGGTCCATGAGGTTCACGAAATTATCATCTTTAGTCATTTGTGTTTTGTTTGTGACATAGTTGGTCCTTAATGTTACTACGTATACATCAAATTGGTCCCTCCATAAAAAATTATCATATGTGGAGCCCACACATTTAATGATATAGAGCCACGTGACTTTAAATAATAATATAAAGATGAGCTAAGATGAATTACACACATAACAACTATGATGACTAGACATGCATATTTGACCAATCATACATGACAACACTATAATGCATGCAATGCAATGTATAATTTTTACCTTCAGGGTTCTTGACATCATTTGAGCCATGACAAGGTCGATATCAACTTCTGTAATCATCTTGAATAGAGACTTAAACTACCCTAAATTCCTTGAACTTAGATGATTACATATAAGATTATAAGTTTGTCAAGAAAAGCTTAAAACATTAGCTAAACAAAACCTAACAACTAGTTAGTTTTGGGGAAAACTCATATAAAAAGATAGCAAACACATAAATTAGTATGAGACCACTGACTACACACACTACCACCTACCTAAGCCAGTAATAAAAAAAAACAAAGATGAGTTCATGCATGACGCTTGACAGAAGTCAATTATTGAAAATAAACTCAAAGAATTAATTAATGAATTAGCCATGTCCCTTCTGAATAATTAATGAAGGAGAAGCAACTGCACGTGGTTTGACAATCTCTTTGGAGCCATGTCCCTTCTTAATTAATGAATTAGCTATGTCCAACATGTTTTTTCTTGGACGGTGTTGTCACTGTGTTGAAGTGTCTCATTTTAAGCAAGGGAATGCTAACAACCTTCTCTCTAACATTCTCTTTTGGACATTCTTCCTTTTTAGCTTGATATGTATCATTCTATGTTGCACGGGCACGGGTATGGGGACACGGGAACGCGACACGGAGACACGGCGACACGGAAAATCTCAAAAAATTAGGACACGGGTACGGCTAGGACACGGCAATTAAAATAATAATTTATTCACAATACTTCAATGTCACATAATTCCATAAAACAAAACAAATAACTCATGTTCATCATCCATACATAATAATTAATAGACCACAAAATAAAACATAAATGATCTAACTCTCAATCTTCTTCAAGCATCTATGTCTTCATTGTTGTTGTTATTATTGTTGTGTCTCTCTAATAAAAAAAAAAAAAAAAAAAAAAAAGAAGAGAATTGTCACCTCACCACCAAGTCCAACTCTTCTACTGCTGTGGAAGGAAAGAAATAGAGAAAGAGAAAATAGAGAACATAAATAAATGAACAAAAAAAAAAAAAAAAAAAAAAAAAATAAAAAGCAAAGAAACTTACCTTGTGCAAAACTAGGAGAAGGGGAGGAGAAGAGCTGTGACCGAGGAAATGAACTTTGGCAGCATAAAAAGTGAGATTTAGGTTTTAAAAAGTATTTTTCCACTTTTAGCTCATATTTTTAAAAATATTTCAAATCAGTCCACCAAAGTTTCAAAAATCACGTTCAAACCCCAGATTTTATTTTAAAAATTTCAAACTGGTCCCTACCATGTCTTAACTGTGTCGGAGCTGTGTCTTCACTGTGTCGGAGCCATGTCTTGATCATGTCCTAACCGTTGACCGTGTCCAATGCGTGTCGGAGCCGTGTCAGCATGTTCAACACTCCAACAGTTTGGAGTGTCCGTGCAACATAGGTGTCATTCTCCTTACATTTAAAACAATGTCATTAATATATTATACAAGTTAACATTTGCTTTCCAAAAAATAAATTAATAAGATGGTAAGAAAGTTGTTAAATTTTTATGCTTTAAATAAATAAAAATTAAAAAAAAAGAGGAAATGTCCCTTTTTTTCTTTTTTTTTTTAATATTTAATTTTTAACACAAAGGGTATAGATAGAAAGAAAAAAGTCCTTATAACAATACCATCTGGTGTAACTTGACCAGCAAAATATTCATGAATGTCTGAGGTCCAGAAATTATAATTTCTCTGTTACATATAGTAGATATGCACCTTAATTAATACAAATATATTAGTAATAAACACAAATAAATCATATATGACAATCTTAACTACCATTGGGGGTGCTTACGGATGTGAAGGACCTTTCTTTTACTATCTAAACCCTTTGTGTTAAAATAATTAATTTTTTTTTTTTTTTTTTTTTTTTTTTTTTTTTTTTTTTTTTTTTTTTTTTTTCATTTTCTTTTTTAAAAAATAATTAATAATTAATAATAAGAAAAGTTATGAATTTTTTTTTGGGATAAATTGAATACATTTCATAAGGGTAAACTTGGAAAGCAAAAGTTAACTTTTATAATATATTAATGACATTGTTTTAAGTGTAAGGAGAATGACACATGTCAAGCAAAAAAAGGAGAAGGTTAGAGAGAAGGTTGCTAACATTCTCCTTTTTAAGGAAGGGGAAACAATATAATACATATTGTGGGGACCAAATCTCACGTATCATGGCTTAACCCATATGCCACAACTAAAAGACATGGGATGATCGAACTTCCCTCCCACTAGAGAAGTGCTGAGCGAGGGAGACGTAAATCGCTCACCTGATCCCACTACCATGAAGTGGAGGATGGGATGCGCAAAGCTAGGGAAGTAGGGCCAAACCCAAGAACTCGAAGCGCTATAAAAACCCAGCTAGACCCCCAGCCAAGGTACGAGAAATCCAATTGAACACTAAAAGTACGTTGCACAAACACTGACTTGAGCGTCAGAGTGGCTTTTGCAGGTACTCACCCCATTTCCACCGTTCGACTTCGGGAATGTAATCCGGAGTTCTCTTTCAACCAAGGAAGCATGTGGGTTTCAATCAAGAACCTATGAAGGTATTTATTCTTGAAAGAAATCCTGCTCCTACAGTAGGCGCCGTCTGTGGGAATCTCGCAAAGTTGATCATAAATATGACTGAACCTGCACAAGGAACTCCAAACACCTCCATAATGGGGAATGCGATGTCCACTCCTCGACCCGAAAGTGCAAGGTCCAACGCCCAGGATGGGGAACCAAGCCTTGTTGTTATCTAGTTGAGGGAAATCATGAAAGAATTGAGTGAAACAAGAAAGGTAGCGGAGAAAGCTCTGGAGAAGGCGCAGAACACTGCTTGCCGTGAGAGCTCAAAAGAGGGCAAGAGGAAGCAGAGACATAAGATCTCTGAGGAAGACTTCTCTAGCAGCACACATTTGAGTGTCCGTGACAAGGCCACGGCAGAAGATCAAGACAAAGATCTCGACTTGCATAAAATGGCGAAAAGGCCGAAGGACACTGATTTGCGCAATCATATCGAGAAGATCGTCAAAGGGTATAAGCCACAAACACCCGTGAAACTAGCTTTGGAGGCGGCGAAAGGAATTTGCAAGTCGCCATTGACGGAAGACATCCTGAAAGCCAAGAAGCCAGTTAAGTTCACCCAACCTAAGTTTAAGCTGTTCGAGGGCACGACTTATCCTGTTGAACATATCTATCATTTCCAACAACAAATGGTGCTCGAAGGAGATGACAAGGCCCTGTTATGTAAGTTGTTCACCTCAAGCTTGTCAAGATCGGCCCTGATTTGATTTAGACAGCTGAAACCAAGGTCTATTGGCGGTTTCACCCAACTCTGTGAAATGTTCATATCTCAGTACATTTGCAATCAAAAGAGGAGAAAGGATGTCATGATCCTATTCAGCACGAAGCAAAGTACCGGAGCAAGCCTTAAAGACTACTTGAGCTTTTTACGGAGGAAATGTCTACTCTTGAGGAATGTGATTCTCATACTGCTTCGCTGGCGTTTCGTGAGGGGGTCATACAAGGAACAAAAATGCACAGGTCTTTAGTGAAAATCCCACCAGTGGATATGAGGGAAGTGATGGCCCGGGCGGATGGAATCATCAGACTAGAAGAAGAAGAGCTTACCCAATCAAAATGCGCCACTTCCATCATTGGGATCCCAAAGCCTCCATCGGAGCAAAAGGTGGAGACGAAGCGATATTCCTTGAGACAAGAACCTAGCAACGGACCTAAGCAAAGCCGACCCTTCACCAGGCTCACGGTGAGTTTAGCCAAACTTTTTCACAAAAACAAGGGCCAAGGTATATTTCGAACACCACCTGCGATCAGCGAATCCCCAGAAAAGCAAGACAGGAACAAGATATGGCCCATCATAACGACTTTGGACACGCTACTGATGAGTGCCGAGTCTCAGGTATCAGGTGGAGGCAATGCTGAGAAAGTGAATGTTATCCTAGTACCGTGCTAAACCTGAGGGTAGGGCAAGTGAAGAGGGTGGGTCAAAAACAATGACCGGAAATATCGTAAATGAAGAACTGCTGGAGATCAACACCATCCATGGTCGACCGAATCCGAGGAAGGAAAAGGGGCTCGATCCCGGTTCGAAAAAAGACGAGCTAAAAAGGTGAGATGCATAAACGAGATCGCACCTGCCTCTGAATGCCAAAGCCCTGGAAAAGATTAGAGTCATCTGAGTCACGCAGAAAGACATGGTAGGAATTGAGTTTCCTCACAACGACGCATTAGTGGTGTCCCTCTGCGTTGCCAATTCAATGACAAAAAGAGTGATGATTGACGATGAAAGTAGCGCAGACGTGTTATTCTAGAGCAGATTTAAAAGAATGAAGCTGTATGAAAATGAGATTCAACCAAACCTAACACCGATCTACGCATTTGAAGGGACGAAAGCGCAACCGATCGGAGACGTGACTCTGCCGGTCATTGCGGGAGGGTAGATCCTATTCGTCACTTTCATAGTTGTAGATGCGTCGAGTGCGTATAATGCTATAATGGGAAGGAATTTGATTCATCGAATGGTTGGAGAAGCATCGACACGTTGCTAGGTGATGAGGTGCATATCCGAAGATGGGATAACCACAGTTGATATCAAGGGGGATCAAGTGGAGGCCAGAAGATGCTACAACATAGCAACTAACATTAAGGCTGCGACTTCGCAGCAGAGCAAGGATTTATAGCAATTAACGGAGGACAGACCAAAACAAGTGGAGAAGGATAACTCAAAGCTTTCGACGATCAAACCACTCAAGGAATAAGTTCTGGATCCTTTTTATCCTTATAGAAAAGTGTTGGTGGGCTCCCTCTTATTTGAAGATGAGGTAGAACAACTAATTAAGTTATTAAGAGAGAATAAGGACGTGTTCGCATGGTCACATATAGACATGTCAGGGATCGACCCGGAGATTGCGTGTGATCGACTGAATGTTGACCCAAACCACCCCCCGCACCAACAAAAACAGAGGAGGTTCGCACCTCAGCGGAACCAAATTATTAGCGATAAAGTGGATTGATTGCTCGAGGCAGGATTCATTCGAGAAGTGTGGTATCTGACTTGGGTCTCGAATGTGGTGGTAGTAAGTAAAAGGATGTGAGATGGCGTGTGTGCATAGACTACATCAACCTAAATAAGGCATACCTGAAAAATTGTTATCCAATACCAAAGATTGATCAAATGGTAAATGCTACCGCCAGGTATGAACTTCTCTCATTCCTGGATGCTTATTCGGGATATAATCAAATCCCAATGGCAATTGAGGACTAGGAAAAGACGGCATTTATCACCGTGCGAGGCTTGTATTGTTACATAGTGATGTCATTCGGGCTGAAGAATGTAGGGTCGACGTATCAAAGATTAGTGAACAAGATGTTCAAAAGCTAGATCGGCAAAACGATTAAGGTTTACATAGAGGTGTCAAACAGGCTGTGCCAGGCCGGCTCGTCCTATTTAAACTCGTGCTTTTAACGTTTTTGTGTCGTGCCGGGCTGACCCGTTTAACTTATCGAGCGTGCCGTGCCGGCCCATTTAGTAAAATCATTGATCCCGACCCAGCCCAAAGCCCATGTCCATATTTAAACGGGCCGGGGCGGGCCGTGCTCGTGCCATACTCGGGCCCAAGAACCAACCCATTTAATTTGAAGTTTTTTCACTTGATTTTTTTTTCACTTGATAATTCAAATTATAAATATTAAAAATATAATTAGAGGCAAGAAATGATGAATTATTTGAAAACATTAATCAATCAAACATCCAAACAATATAAAAGGCGGAGGGCAAAAAGTGTACAACTTCACAAAGTCCACTTCAACTTTTCATCTTTAAACAACTTATTATTTCATATGTGAAGAAATGTCTTACTTTGATTATAAGATAAGCGTATATGTCATATGTACTGATTAGATATCAAGTCTAGTGTTGTTAAATTAATTTGTAGTTGATATGTTAAATTAATTTGTAGTTGATATGTTTAATTAATTAAGGATCCAAGAAATTTCCCTAAAATGAAAGACATCAAATATATGTTTATGATTATTAAATAAAAAATATAAAAAAACCATATAAACAATGATATTAGATGTCAAATTTTTGCATTTTTACATTCGAGAAAGAAAAAAAAAGTTAAGTGGGTCGTGCTTGAAACGTGCTTGGGCTCATGCCGTGCTTAAAGCGGGCTCGGGCCAAGCCCGGCCCAAGATTTCGTACCGTGCCGAGCACAGCCCATTATTATTCGTGCTCGTGCCATGCCGTGCCTTATTTAAAAGGGTTGGGCCGGCCCGTCCCGTTTGATACCTCTAGGTTTACATCGATGACATGGTCGTCAAGGGCCAAGAAAAATCCCAACTTGTCAGGCACCTGAAAGAAGTCTTCAACATACTAAGAATATACCGCATGCGGCTTAACCTGAAGAAGTGCGCGTTCAGTGTTTCGTCAATGCAATTCTTGGGGCAAATAGTGAACAAGCGAGGCATCAAGCCTAACCTATCGAAGGTGGAGGCGCTGCGGAATATGCTTGATCCAAGAACACCTAGAGATGTGCAGGTTCTGACTGGGCGAATAACGTCTCTCAGCTGATTCATTTCAAGATCGTCAGATCATTGTAAGCCATTCTTCCAGGCAATTAGGAAGTGGTCAATACGTACCATGCCCCAGCCTTTCACCACCTCGGCGAAAGCCCTTTTTCCTTGACTTATGGAACTGAAAACGTCATCCCCACAGAAATTAAACTACCCACATTCAGGACATTAGTGGTAGAGAGCAATGATAATGAGCAACAACTAGCTCACAACCTTGACGTGCTTGAAGAACAGTGAGAAGCTGCAGCGTTACGACTTGCGAACTACCAGAACCAGACAACCAATTACTTCAATAAACGAGTACGACAGAGGAAATTCAAAGTAGGCGAGTGGGTACGCAGAAAGGTCATGGAGAATACCAAGGACCTAAATGTAGGAAAATTTGGACGAACATGGGAAGGACCGTAGAGGTAACAGAGGCTTATGGAAAATGGGCTTATATGCTGAGGCATATCGAGAGTGGTCAATACGTACCATGCCCTTGGAATTCAATTCATATGAGGAAATATTTCATTTGTAAATAAGAAAATGCATATATTAATCCATGGGCACAGAAGGTGATTGGCCAAAAGGCAGAAAAGTACGATTGAAGATCGCAATCAAGACGTGGTCGGAGATCGCGCATGAAGAAGCGATTGGAGATCACGCATAAAGAGGCGATTGGAAATCGCACATAAAGATGTGATCGAAGATTACGACATGATCGGGGACCATGACATGGTTAGAGATCAAGCAACGTGAATAAGAATACGTATGTGACAAGGTCGAAGACTGCATGATTAAACATAACAATAGCATTAGTGTAACGACCCGGTCCTAAATAAATTTTTAATTGTTAATATATTTAGATAAAAGACCATTTTGCCCCTAAAATATTTTATTGGGTTTTAAGTTGACTTTTTGACTGGGAAAGAATTTGGGAATTTCAACTGTACCGTGGTGTAGAGCACGACAAGATGAGTTCGTAGACACGTAGTGAGCTCGAACCGAAGTTGTAACGAAAAGAATGTATGTGAGGTGGCATAATCGTAATTTTGGCGAAAATGGTTTGATAAAAATATGATTTTCTCTCTCTCTCTCTCTCTCTCTCTCTCTCTCTGCTCTCGCGACAGCAGCGCCAACCTGCCACGTTTTGGACTGCCGTTCTCTCGTCCGACCACCAAAGCTAACAGGGCTGGTACCAAAATGACCGGGCCAGCATCCTCTTCTAGCCCCAACCCTTCACCACCTTGGTATGCTGTTGTAGTTGCCGGAAAAGCAGTGAAAGGGTTGGTTTTTTGCTCGATTTTCTTTGTCTTCGTTCGCCATAGCTCGGCCACCAATTCTGGCAAGTAAGGTATGCTTTCCCACCTATTTTTCATGATCTACCTGATGGTTGGGTCGGATTGCATTAATTTTGAGCATAGGTGGCTTGATTTTCGAATTGGATTTCGGCCAATTTTGGGATCACGATTCCGGTCACTTTTCGGTGTAGGCTCGAGAACAAAAGTGACTCCAAATAGGGTGTTAGAGCTAGGGTAGGAGTCTTGAGTCGTGATTTGGACTTTTTCCGACGAAGTGTATTGCTTTGGACACCCATGCGCTGCCGGCTCTTGTGGTGGCACGTGGACACTGTAGAAAAGGGGCATTGTGTCCCAATGTGACCTCTTGGTACTCACGAGCGCGTAAGGGTGCTCGGATTCCAATTTGGATACCATTTGAGTCTTGATCGGATTCCGCCTATTGTGCGTTATTCGGGTTCGATAGGTTTGACTCTTTGGATCGTTTCGAATTTAGTATATATTAACCTAGACATTCTTATGATCGTGTAGTAATTTGCGGATTAGAGCCCCGGATGTTCTGATTTGATAACTAGAAGTTCGTATTTTACAATAACCGTCCAATCGTGCAATCGCGAGCGATCCGACCGTTCGATCGGGACCAAACTTGCAAGACGTGTATCCTAGACCTTGTGGAACCCTTAGAAACTTTCGGATTGTAAAACGGAGGTCGTGGGCCCTACAAGCTTAGTTGACCAAGTTTGGATAGTTTGACCCCTCAGTTGACCGTGAGTCTTTCGATGTAGTTTCACCCTTTGAAAGATAGGTAGGATAACCTTGTAAACGAGTCTTAATTCTTATTTGAGTTTAAATTGGAAATTAGTTCGATTGGGTTTTTCCTTTAAAGGTTGTTGTTTATCATTAATTAATATTATTTGATTAAATTATGTTGCATTCTACTATAGACTTGTATCGCTAAATTGTGAACATCTATATTATTATTGTGATATTTGAGACTTATAATTATTCGGAATACGGATTATATATGTTGATTACCATCCCTCAGATACTCGACTTCCCATACGTGGCGTTGGAATTTCTGGCGTATAGGAAGAATGTATGATTACTAGGTCTCACACATGGGGTTGGAATTTCCAGCGTGTGAGACACTTCCCATACGTGGCGTTGGATTTTCCGGCGTATGTGAAGAATATATGATTACTAGGTCTCACACGTGGTGTTGAAATTTCTGGCATGTGAGACACTTTCCATACATGGTGTTGGATCTTCCGGCGTATGGGAAGAATATATGATTACTAGGTCTCACACGTGGTGTTGGAATTTTCGGCGTGTGAGACACTTCCCATACGTGGCGTTGGATTTTCCAGCGTATGGAAAGAATATATGACCATCAGGTCTCACACGTGGCGTTCGAATTTCCAACTTGTGAGACACTTTCCATACGTGGCGTTGGATTTTCCGGCATATGGGAAGGAAATGTAATTATTGGATCTCACACGTGGCGTTGGAATATTATGGCGTGTGAGACATTATGATTCGGTTATTAGCTTATCACATGTGGCATTGGATTATCCGGCGTGTGATAGAGTAACAGGGGAAAGAGTGACGCTTAAAAGAATTATGTTTGGTATGGTGTGATTTAAATTAAAAAGGGAAAGGAATAAATTCTAGAATGTATTATTTTGTATTGCTGTAATGGTTTGTACGTTATCGGAACCAGGATTTTGTGGAAAGAACTATGTGTGGCTTGATCCCTCATAAGGGGTACGTACGTAGCCTAGGGTAATACCTAGGTGCAGCCACAGACTAAACATTACTTAAGTAGTTTTATGGAATTTGGCCCATGGGACTATTGGTGATAATTCATAGATGATAGTTGATGCATACGTAAAATTTGGGAAGTTAATTTATGTTATTTGCAGTGGGCAAGTATAAATAAGTTTGAGTTAATTATCTGCATTGTTTAATGCATTATTTTGATTGAAGAACATTGCTGGCGGTTCTGTTTCCAATTATGTGAGGGCCGGAGGCCGATTATGTGATTTGCCTGAAATAAATTTGTGCATGCTGCCTGTTGGGATATTAAATTGTGAATTTTGTTCAGGTTAAAATATGGGGAAATGTTAAATTTACAGGGGAGGCGCTACCAAAATTTTGGTAGAAAGTCTCAGTCTTTAGTAAGTGGGCCCGGCATCAGTATGATGTCCGAAATTTCCATAGGATTCGTCCCGGGTTCCGAAGAATTCGGGGCGGGTCCTGTCAATTAGGCATTTATGGCTATAAAAGGAAAAACATGAAATGTTTATAGGAGAAAAGGCTGGAAAATACATAAAACTACTGATTCTACAGATGCGAACCCACAAGTAGCATGGGCTAGTCTGATGGCAAGGGGAGACGATCTCAATCCATGTGAGGATAAACCATTTTGGCCTTGGTGAGGAAGTGGTGGATACCTTATCTAAATCCGTCATGTATGCCATCATAATGAGTGGCAGACACAGCGCGATCTGCATCAGCAAGATCACTCCGGAGGCAAGTCACTTGGGCACTGACACATGCCATATCCTCCTTGAGTAAGTCGCATTCCATCAGCAGCATATTATGGTCAAAGTAACAGGAGCACCGAGGAACACGAGACGAACCAGCTTCATCTCGCACCCTTGGGGCGCTCCTTCTCATAATAGCCTTTCCTCAACCTCTGGCATCACCAGACCGGGACCTAGACCCACGAAGTGAATCGGGGACCGCCGAGTAATCTGAAACATTCACGGAAGAGTCGACAGAAGAATCCTGAGAACATATCTCAATAATTCCGTTAGGGCTCTTGGAATCTCGCTGTGAGGACTCCCTCCTTGACAGAGACGAAGTCCTCCTCCTCAAAGAATCTCCTTTCTTTGGAACATCTGCGCAAAAGCGAAAATGGAGTTTTAGTTTGCGTCTATAAGCCATGAGTGGGATAGGTATGTTCACCTAAAAACTAAATTACCTTTATATAGAGGTTTACTTAGAGACGTAGCTCACAAAGGAACGCCTGATAAGGTCGTAATGTGGAGACGATAGGATATCCAATCCTTGCTTTTTGAATTTGAAAATGGCGATTCATCCTAAGAGGATCTTGACCAGGTTTGAAAAATCATCACATTAAGCCTCAGGTACTTACGTTAAGGTTAAAATTCAAATTAAGTGAATAACTCATAGAGTCTGATAAAGTGAGTCAGGAATTCTGGGAACGGACCCGAGATAATTGAGTACATCAAAACAAAGACAAAACTGAAAAGAAAATATAACAAGTAGTGAACAAAACAAAGCAATCTAGGGTGCATCATCAAATGGGTCAGGAATGGCCTCCGAGGTAAGCCCAGCACAAGTGGAAAATCTAGCATGTGAGGTGAAGCCCGTAAATCCAAGGACAGGCCTAGCACTGGCAATAGATGATGCAACATTAGCTCTACGGACAACGGTCCCAATTGACCCAGAAGGAGTTGGCCCATGAAAGGTTGCTGGTGGGATCCTGCGATGAGGGATGTAACCTGTCGGAGTACGATCATCAGGGTGCATACCCTGAAAAAGTTTGTAGCCAGCGGGGTCAAATTCCAACTCATCGTCAGTCATTTGGCCCCGCTACAAACCGGTGCTTAGGAAGCTGTTGACCTAGAATCCAACTGTATCTGAATTCTCTGGCCATCTCGACCCTGATATGCTCGGTGTTGGCTTGAAACTCCTCGTCCTTATTCCGTGTGGCATCCACTAGTTCTTGCTTAAGGCAGTCAACCTCCATCAGTACAGTGCTTTGGCAGCTTCTCAGGTTTCGCAGTTCGTCTCGCTGCTATTCTAGCTCAGTCTCACATTCCTTGATGCGATTTTCGCTAAATTCGAGGGTTGCCGTCTTTTCGCATATCTCAAGGCTCATAGCCTGAAACCTCGATATTTACGCATTGCGAATTCCAACCATCTGCGAGAAATAAAAAGTGAGCAGTAAACATGCAACTATGATAAGACATGGCAATTGGATAACACCAACACAAATCCCAAACGTACCGCGTTCAAGCACTGTGATTGGTAGCCCCACATTTGTTCATCAGTCATAGTCATGAAGTCATTCTCGTCTAGTGAGCTAGTAAGAGTGGGGGCACGAGGGACTTGCTAAGGTCAGGACGGAGTACTCGAAGCGGATACATTGGGTGAGCCCAAACCCAAAACGACCTGTGAAGCATGGCAGGACTTCTTCGCAGACACGGAAGGCTCGGGCTCTTTTCCAGGTCTCCTTTCCCTACGACCTGAGACCGACAATGAGCGTGGCACTGACATATCTGACTGATTAGACTTAGACCCGAATACGCAGTCCTCGGAGCTGTTGTGTTGAGCTAACTCAGCCTCCCTTTCTTGAAAGCTAGCCTGGATAAGAGACGATGAATCTTTGGTGCAACAAAGCTCAACGTTGACAGAACAAATGTCTTTGAACAAGTTTATTTCGCATACGTTTGGGTCAACCAAAATGAACGGGAGGTAAGTCGCCAAACGACGAGCAGTGGAGAGACGAATGAAAGTAGCCGGATCGAGGAAGTGTGTGATATCCCACCCCTGACCAACCAAGTTCTCCTCCAACCAAGCAATCCAGTCCTCAGGAATGAGATACCTTTTGTTCGAAGAAAGTACTGCCAAAAAAGAGGTTATTTAGACCTGCAAAAACACAATAAGCTTTATTTCAAAGACATAAATATGTATACCAGGTTTTAGGGCAAACGCAAACAGGATAGACATGTTAGACATCTCAGACGCCACCCACTCCCTAGTGATTAAGAGAGGTTGGTTTTTCCAGTACTTGGTGGAAGTGGGCTTACAAGTAAATACCTTTTTACCAGACTCAGACGTAAAAAAGAAATTGTGACTTTCCCCCCTAACACTAGCCAAGTCGTAGAGGTAAATGAAATCCTTAAAGATAAGGGACACACCCCACTTCAAACCGACGACTAGAAACCTAGATATGAGAAGGTAAGAATTTGAGTTTAGTTGCATGGGGTGAAGGCCCAAGAAGAACAAGAGCATATGAAAAAGGGGATGGTGTGGAAACCTAACATGCTCTAAGTAGGCCGGCGAGAGAATTAAGGAACCCTAAGAGATACCGGCACCAGTGTATATATCTGACCCCAAAGGCTGAGGATCGATCCCCACATTGTCGAGAGCACATACTTTAGTGCGAGCCTTAAGTATCTCGTAGCTTGGTGGGACACCACCGGACTTGGCCCAAATCTCGTGGCTCGACATGAAAATAAAAAAGACGAAAATAGTACTTACTAGGTGGTGGCAATAACAAGAACCTTTCGGCGGAGTTCTCAAACGCACAGAACACTTTCCTCTCCCTTCGCGCCTAGAGCTTATATATGAAGAACAAAAGCAAAGTATAAATGGTTTTACTAATGAGTGTATCTCTATCGACCGACCTTTTATAGGAGGGGGCGAAGATTGGGAAAATAATTCACAGAAGTTACAGGAAGAAGTTTTTCAAAAACAAAGATAAGGTTCGATGTGGCCGGCTCGGATATTTGCCTTAGGCTTTGGTAATAAAGCCTAGTCTGATATAACTAATCGAAATTATTTCTATCCAACGTATGCGCTTCCCTGACAGAAAGCTGCATGCGCTTCGACAAAAGACAAATAAGAGCAACAGATGTAAGCAATAAGTGGTGCAAGGTGGTAAGTACACCTACGGAGCTAGGCTTGTTCACCCCTCTCACGCAAAGACTAGATCGTGGACTGCTTGGGAGTCAGTGAAAACGAAAAGGAAAAACTGAGGGCATTTGGAGTCCAAAAGGTTAGCCCAAAAAAAAAAAGGGTCGTGAACACCTTAGATCGGTCGAGAGATTGAAGGCCCACGGGCCCGTATGGACAGCTCAAGTGCAAAGAAAAAGGAAAAAGGGGAAAATAAGAAGGAAAAAAAAAGTTCGTGAACACCTTGGATCGGTTGAGAAACCAAAGGCGCACGGGTCCAGAAGGACAGCTAAGGGGTTTTGGGGCCCGTGTGGACGGCTCAAGTACGAGAAAAAACAAAGAGAAAAAAAAATGTTCGTGAAAATCTTGGATCAGTTGAGAAATCGAAGGCGCACGGGTCCGGAAGGACAACTAAGGGGTTTTGGGGCCCGCGTGGACGGCTCAAGTGCAAGAAAAAAAAAGTTCGTGAACACCTTGGATCTGTTGAGAAACCGAAGGCGCACGGGTCCGGAAGGACAGCTAAGGGGTTTGGGGCTTGCGTGTACGGCTCAAGTGCAAGAAAAAAAAAAGACATGGACACCTTGGATAAGTTGAAGAACCGAAGGCACATGGGTTTGAAAGGACAACTCAGGGGTATTGGAATCCATTTGGGATCGGCTAGCAAAGAGAAAGCAAGGAGCACAGGGCCTACTGGATTGGCAAAAGCTCAAAACCAAGCGCACCCCAACTGGAGTTGAGATCGGCTAGCAAAGAGAAACCAAGAGGCATGGGACCCACCGGATTGGCAAAGGCTCAAAACCAAGCGCATCCCAACTGGGGTTGGGATCGGCTAGCAAAGAGAAACTAAGAGACATGGGACCCACATGATTGGCAAAGGTTCAAAACCAAGCGCACCCGAACTAGGGTTGGGATCGACTAGCAAAGAGAAACCAAGAGGCATGAGACCCATTGGATTGGCAAAAGCTTAAAACCAAACGCACCCCAATCCATTTAGGATCTGCTAGGAAAGAGAAACCAAGAGGCATGGGACCCACCGGATCGGCAAAAGCTCAAAACCAAGCGCACCCTGACTGGGGTTGAGATCGGCTAGCAAAGAGAAAGCAAGGATCATGGGGCCCACCGGATCGGCAAAAGCTTAAAGCCAAGCACACCCCAACCGGGGTTGGTTAGCAAAGAGGAAAATGTGCATGGGCCCACTAGATCGGTGGAGGTGCAGAAATTCAAAATAAAGAAAATGGTCCACTTGCGCATGGGTTCGGCTGTTCGCACTTGGATACCCACATAAAGATAACAGTCCACAACTAGAACTTTAAAAGTTAGCAACGTGCATGAAAATTCACATTTGAATATTTCACATGCAAGGTGTGAAAACAACATGCATGGGTTGGTGATAGGCCAATAGGAATCATATTTTTGGGCTTGACCAACAACCCCAAGGGAAAAAGGTGTGGCTTATTTGGGCTCAGCCATGAGCACATCAGGATGACATGCATTCAATTCGAAGAAATCATGTTCCAAAGTCCCACTTAGATCATTTTTCCCTCTCCACTCACGAAGCATGTAGAGAGGAAAAAAGGGGGGCACTGTGGGGACCAAATCTCACGTATCATGACTTAACCTATATGCCACAACTAAAAGACGTGGGATGATCAAACTTCCCTCCTACTAGAGAAGTGCGGAGCGAGGGAGACGCAAATCGCTCACCTGATCCCACTACCATGACGTGGAGGACGGGATGCGCAAAGCTAGGGAAGTGGGGTCAAACCTAAGAACTCGAAGCGCTATAAAAACCTGGCTAGACCCCCAGCCAAGGTACGAGAAATCTAGTTTAACACTAAGAGTATGTTGCACAAACACTGACTTGAGCGTCAGAGTAGTTTTTGCAGGTACTCACCCCATTTCCACCGTTTTACTTCGGGAACATAATCCGGAGTTCTCTTTCAACCAAAGAAGTGTGAGGGTTTCAATCAAGAACCTGTGGAGGTACTTCTTGAAAAAAATCCTGCTCCAACACATATATGATTAGTATCTTTAAACCATTTTAATTCATTTTACTTTAATATGTTTATTTCTCATACCTTACCACCGCTCATCCTTCTTCATCCTTCAGCACCAGAACCCTCCATTGCTGCCCAATATCACATCCATTTATAGTCATCATCATCACCAGAATAGTGGCCCTTTGATCTGATTTTGGTAAATAAAAAAATTTCATAAAAAGAGTAGATTTGATGTTCTTAAAGTGTTTTTTTTTTTTTTTTTTTTTTCATTTTCAAAAAGTATATTCGGTCAAAGAACATGGAGGCCTTTCAACCCAAACCGAGGGCATAAACTCCTCACCAAAAAAATAATCTGAACTTGTTTCACTTAGAACTAGTTTGATATTGTTGTGCTATGAAAATATTCGATATCAGATTTTCCACTTAAAACTAAAAAGAGAGTGTCATTTAGAGCTATTTCCCTCAAATTTAACTGAGATGAAAATTAAAAGCAAACCTTATGGTCACAATTAATTTGACTTGAAATATTCTCTAATAATGAGAAAGCAAAAGAAAACCAGCAGTAGGGCACTGGCAGGCAGACACATCCTTTCACTTCAACTTAGGCCTGGGCACAGATCAGTTTGAAACAGTAGAAGGCTCTTCCGTTAACCAAACCAAAGACTTCGGTAGACCATTTTCTCTTCCGTTAACCAAACTAAAGACTTCGGTAGACTTCGGATCGGTTAACCTAATATTCGGTTCAGATTGGTTCAGTACGCCGGTAGTACCGTAATAAAAACATACTAATAAAAATACAATTTATAATACTTTCACATAACATAAGTTCTTGAACAAATAAACCAAATTATCCTTGTAAAATATAAAATCCAATAGTCTAATTCATGCAAGTATGAAATCAAATCACTTAGTCACTATATCATTCAATATATACTCAAGATGTAATGGGAGCCACTTGTGTTTGTTGTTTGAACATTTGAGTGTTATTTTTACTGAATTCTCTACATTTATATAAATGATTTTGACATTTGTTCTGCACAAGGCTCTTTAGTTTTTCATGCTAAATCTAACCATATAAAGAAAATAAAATTTGGATCAACGGTTGGAAAGTTACAGGTATAAAAGGGGACAAATGTCGAAACTGGAAAACATAGGAAATTCATAAATTCATCTCTAACCAAAAAGTGCTACAGTACCCGCGTGATAAAGAAGTGATAGAATGGTGATAAAGCAGTGATACAATGATGATAAAGAAGTGATACAACAGTACTAAAGGAGTGATACAAAGTGCTGATTGTATTTATCTTTAGTTTCTTGTTTTGTATTTAAATAATAGAATAAGTATAAATATCGTATCGGTACGGGTTTCCGTTAGATTAGAAATATTGTTCCGTTAACCAAACCAAATATCTCGGTACGGATCGAATTAGAATAATTAAAATTAAAAAATAATTATTTAATCAAACCAAACCAAACCGTCGGTACGGTACGCGGATAATTCGGATGAGATGTCCACCCCTACTTCAGCTCATGCGGAGAAACAAATGCAAGGAACTCATTGTCACCTTCAAGTTTAGCCAAGTCCTCTTCCTTCATGTTAATGTATGCTTCTATTCCACCACCAGACCTGGCGTCAACAACCAAGTTATTTCAAGGGGAAATACCACAAAATACCATCAAGGCACTTCTCCAGAAACCATCCTGGACATTTTGGGAATACCATCTATAAATACGTACTTATTGGCCTTACGATTTTTTCTCACTTTTTCTTCTCTCTCAGCTCTCTCTCTCTCTCTTTCTCTCTCTCTCTCTCTCTCACGCGTACAAAGTCCATTGTCGAGAACCAAAATCTGGGCAGATTTGTCCCTTCAGACATGAATGGAAGCTATCAGAAAGCAAGCGACCAGGCTTCGCGAACGGGTCGCTAGGCAACAACAGGTGCTTTCATACCAATCCTACTTCCACCAGATCCAATTTCATTTAATCGCTTTCAGTATCTGCACTCTATTCTGATTCTGTATTTGATATTTCTTATTTTGACCAATTTCCCCTTGATTTAGCTCGACTTTCTTTTCCCTTGTCCTGTTTATTTTCTTGGTGAAATTTGCAATCTTGTTCTGCCTGTAATGCTTTGTTTTCGTTGGGTTTGTGATTTTCAATTTGTTTCACACTGTATGATCCAACTCAATGCATTTGCTTTTCAAAGTCATAAACTTTTTTATGAATTTTGTTGATTGACATTTGATGTGCAACCCAAAGGAGAGGCGATATTAATTGTATTCTTGCGCGTTAATTGGTAAATTGCTCGGAGAACATTCTTGGAATCTGTTTATGGAAGATTGCAAATAGAATACATGGATAGAACAAAGAAATATATTTGTTGGTCCATAATGCCTTAAAAAATTAGAGCCTACAGTGTGTGTTATGGATACAGAAATTAGAGCCTACAGTGTGTGTTATGGATACAGGTCGGGCTTGTTCATCCAATGAAAAGTAAATGTTGCTATTAAGTTTTACATAGATATGCTCCCTTAAAAGAAATGGGCAATCAGTTAGATTAAGGTATAGTTTCACTCAAAAAATTCAATAGAAATTAGCCATTTGAGAAGTTTTGCCAACAAATGTGTTGAGAGATTTCAGTTTCTGCTGTAACTTTGTTCTCCATGTCACATTTTCTGTTCCTGTAGTCATATTCATATACATGCCTTGAAAAGTATATGGTACATCTTCAACTGCATCCCATCAAGTTGAAGCTCCTATTTAAAGAATTTGATGTTGTGGGTATTTGGTTTACTCACCTGTTTTGGTTCATATTCTTATGAAATTGAATTTTTTTTTCTTTCTTTTTTCATATGTCAGGAGGACTTCAATGAATTCACTTAAACTGATAAGGTCTCTAGTCTGAAAAACATTAGTTGGTTATTTACTGTGAATAAGTTGTGTATCTGTCAATGATGTAATTTTGAAAGAACTCTTTGCCAATGTTAAAGGTGAACCCAGAAGAAGCAAGTATTCTAAAAGTTGCTGTTATACATTATACAAATGTTCTTTGGTTGAGTTTTTTTAATAAGGGTAGGATTTTGAAGGTGGACATTTATGAGCTGTAGGTGAAGTCATTGCTTGCAGTTGGCTTATACTTAGTAGCATGCAATAGTCATCTTCTTAAGTTGTCTGAGAAGTGGAACTTATTTGGGCCTTTGAAATTCAAATTTGTTTTTTTTATTGCTTGTTTATTTCCATTTTATTGCTCTGTTTTTTTGTCATTCTATTTCCATTTTATTGCTTTGTGGTGGACGGTTAACTTCACTTTTAATAATGGCAAACTCGCTTCCCTCTTAATAAATTTTTTCACTATTAACTTCACTTTGATATGGAGATTATATTTGTAAACTAAATCTACTACATCAAATGGAAACTCTCATTCAGCAAACACATGATGATGCTAACTCTCATTCAATTTAAAGACGTGCAAGTGGATTTTCCTTGACATTACCAATTGGGGAGCTAAGCAACGCCGTGAACTCTTTGTTATGTTCGAACTTGGCCATGTCTTCCTCTTTCAAGCTAAAATAAGACTCAATTCCATCAACATTTCTGGTGTCCATGAAGACTATTTGATTACTGATATGCATAGCAGTCATGCTCACCCATGTAGGCCTTCCCCATCCAAAATCTGCATTGTACACAAGAAACTTGCATACACTAGAAAAAGTCAATGTGACCAGCTCTCCTTTTGCAGCCTTCTCTCTTCTTTTCTTCATGAAATCCAGATGTTCTTGAAAACCCTCTTTCGAATTTCCACATATAGTTACTGTCAATCTTCTCAATTTCCTCTATAACCTGCCTCACCGATCCATGATGCTTCTCACTTGTAGGCAGAGTTGGAGCTGCCATGGCAGCCCCGTAATAATTTCCGAAAGTATGATGAGGCAGAGGTGGCTTGAGCCTTGAACGAAGATCCATGATATTAACAACTGCGTACAACGTTTGAGGTCTTTCCCTAGGCCTTGACAAAACAAAGATGTCCCATAAAAAGGCAGACAAGGCCTCAACTTTTGATGGCCGTTTTTGGGTTTTTGAGATCTTGATGCTCTGTTCATATTTTGATCTCAAAGCCTCAACCTTTTACACATCAAACACAAACTTCTTGGTTTTGATCTCATGCCTGTTGGTGATAGGAACCCCTAAATACCCATCCATATTTCTTGGTGGGAAAATTGAAGCTGCAGAAAAATCTGGACCCACTATAGAATTTTTGTTCCCCTGTCCACAATTAGAAGCAGCTGCCCAATTGTTCACAAATGTAAAACATGAGCCGGCGTCTGCAATTCTGTGCGAGATGCATAACCCAACAGCAATTCCTCCACATTCAAACACATTGAGCTGGACTCCAAGGGCTGTTTCTGTGACTTCATCCAGCTTGAATGGCAGCAGTTTGTGGAGCTCAGAGAGGCAGGGGTTGGTGATGACATCAGAGAGCAGATGGTTTTTGACTTTAACTTCAGAAAATGGGATGCCTTGGTCTTTGCAGTGAACAAAAAGGTTGTTTCTGACTCTCCCAGCAAAAGGGTAGTATTGGGTCAAGACTTTGGATAGAGAAGTCTTGAGGAGGTTGGAGATTTGAGTGATGTTTATGGAGCCATTGAATTCATAGAAGTAGAGAAAAGGAACATAGGCATGGGGTGCTAATTGATCCAGAAAGGAGAGCTGGTGGTGGTGGAGAAGATGGTTTGATTGTCTCTTTGGTGATTACTTCAACTTCAATCTTCATCCTGATCTTCTTTGCTAGAGTACTTTTGATCGATCCGTTTTGCTATTGCTAATTAAATTATGCAAAGTTGGAATCCTTCACAGATAATCACTTTTTTTTTCCCCCATTTTAATATTTTTTTTTAATAAGGTCTTGCATTTCTCGGTGGAATAAGGTAATCCAACTTGGTGGAGATGTTTGTTTGTTTTGAGGAAACTTGGATGAAATTTTTGTTTGTATTGATAGTTGCATATGCGATTGGGACTCTAAATTTATATGAAGAAACCAATGATCATACGAATTCCAACCAAAGATGTCATAAACTAATGACCATAACAAAATATTTACATTAAACTATATTAAAACTAAGTGATATTGTAGGAAGGTTGATTCGAATGACCATGCCTTGGATGTAGGAATAATTGCTTTTAACTATTAAAATGAAATGTTTAACAAAATATCAAAGTACACCAGAGGCCATGAGAAAGAAATTTGACATCTTACACATGTTTATTATTGGAGAGAGCACACAATTTTATCCAAATGTTGAGAAATTCAGATATATTATATTTTAATTGAGATGAAAATTAATATACTCATTCACAACACAGGAAAATAATAACACAATTACTTTGACTTCAAATATTCCCTACTAATTAATGTACTCATTCACAACACAAGAAGATAATAACACACACTGCACTTGAGCCCATGTGGAGAAACAAATGCAAGGAACTCATTGTCACCTTCAAGTTTAGCCAAGTCCTCTTCCTTCATGTTAATATATGCTTCTATTCCACCACCAGACTTGGCGTCCATGAAAATAACCAAGTTGTTGAAAGTGAGGGGAGGTGAGCCAACCCAAGTGGGTTTTCCCCACCCAAAATCAGCTTCATACAGAGGAAATCTACACAGACTAGTGAAGTTCAGCGTCACCATCTCTCCCTTGAAGAAGTTCTCAGAGCTCTGTTTGATGAAATCCAAGTGCTCACTGCCCTGCTGCAGTTTGCTGACGTAGTGTTTGTCGATTTGTCTCACTTGGTCCCTCACCTGCCTCACGAGGCCATAGCACTCCTCCCCTGTTTGCAGCGATGGGATTGTCAATGCAATTCTGTAGAGATTTCCAAATGAGTGTTCAGGCAGAGGAGGGTCAATTCTTGTACGTAGGTTCACTGCATGAACAACGGCATACAGCCTCTCGGGTGCCGGTTCTGACTTCACTTGAGTGCTTGCCACAACGCGGCTCCATATGAAGGCTGACAAAGCTTCCACACGAGAAGGGGGTTTTTGGTAGCTTTCTAAGCTTTGGCTGTAATTATCAATACTATATTTTGCTTTAAGAGCCTCTATCTTTGAAGCATCAAAGATAAATCTCCTTGTTACAACATTCTGCTTTGTGATACCAGTCCTTGGATTAAACCCGGATATGTTTCTTGGTGGGAAGAGTGTGGCTGATACAAATTGGGGGCACACTATATGTTCATCTTGTTGTCTGGCAATGGCTGCCCAACTTTTGATGAACATGAAAAGTGACAAAGCATCTGCAATCTTGTGGGAAACGCAAGCACCAAGTGCTATGCCACCACAGTCAAAGACGTTGAGTTGGACACCAAGGGAAGATCAGCAACTTCATGTAGTTGAAATGGAATGAATTTGTTGAGTTCAGTTGGAATTGGGTTTTGGATGACATGAGAGAGTTGACAATTAACTCGAGTTTCCAAGTATGGTATGCCCTCATCATTGCAATCAATGAACAAGTTGCCATGGGCTCGTCCGGCTAGTGGGTAGAATAGAGTTAAGACATCGGAGAGGGATTTCTTGAGCTGATTGGATATATCAACAATATTGAATTTTGTGTCGGGCTCTGAGGAATAGAATATGACCAAAGAATTATAGACCGGGGGAGATATCTGGTCAAGAAAGGAGAGGTGGTATGTGCGAAGGTGATCAGGAGTTGGTGAAGATGGTTTGATAATCTCTTTGGAGATTACTTCAACCTTCATGATCGTCTGCCTAAGTTCAAAAAAACCTTGGTAACAAAACAATGAGGGTATATTTGGCTGTGATTGTAATTGTCTGTGGTTTTGTGTTGCTCTTCAAGGAGACTTATATAGAGCTAGAGCAACTGCATGCTAAGGGGACAGGTAATTTTAGAAAATTAACTTATATATTGTCTCATGGTTGCAGCAAAAACATAATTGGCTCATGGGAATGACATTATTTCCACGACAACATGCTATGTTTTGTTTAACTTAAAGCATGTTGAATTACAGGAATCATGATCTGACACTTATGGAACATAACATCACACCGTGTTTGTTCATTTTCTTAAGCATCATTAAAGTCTTCACCTTTTTATTTTCTTAATCTGAGGATTAGCTTGCATGGATTTTCCAGTGATATTATGATAGTGATTTTGGATGGTATAGTCTCTGTGTTGAAGTGTCTTGTTTTAGCAACAATAGAATACGTACATGATTAGTATCTTTAGTCCAACATGGTTTTTCTTGCAGAAATGCATATATGTTGCGTGTGAAGTAAAGGTAAAGAAATTCAGAACACATACACATTTGCATATCCATGCATAATAACACAAGAAAATGTGGCGTAGTTAGCCACCTTGGGCCCCAAGAGCTCTTGATTGTTTAATGCTGGCCTTTTTTTAATTGTTGATGAGTGTTTGTGCGAATATAGGTTCAGCGGGAGCAAAATCTAGTTGGATAGGGTCTCAGAAAATTTCAGTGATTTGCTGCAAGAAAAATCTAACTGAAACTTCAGTTTTTGTCATGATCCTCTGGTTTAATCCTTCTTTTTTTCTCGCTGTTATAATAATATGTAAATGCAGCTCTTACCATCTGTTCTACAAACACATACGCAACCAAGGCAAGCATATTTTCCACCCCTACCCCACATAACACTTTTAAATATATATATATATAATTTTGAATTATATTCTGTCAATGTTTTGCGTCTCTTTCTTTCATTAGAAAATATATAGAATTATAGAAAACTGAAGAAAGATTTTACCTATTGTACTCAAAAAATAAATAAATAAGCATTCGCTTTCTTTCTATATTTCTTATCAAATAAGTTTTCCCTTTCATGTGAGATTTGTTGGATCTTCATCAGCAAAGGAATCCCAAAAATTTATCAAGTCCAACAAAATGACTTCAATCAATTTGATAACATATGTGCCATTTTATCGTTGACCAAAAACATCTTGACTGTATCAAACATTTCCCATGACCAAACATAATGAATTTGGACAAGTCAAAACAAAGAAAAATATAAATTTAGCAGCTTTGATGGATACCAGGAATGGATATGAACTGAGTCAAACACTTTTACTTACTGTGAGCAAGCAATTCATAACATTATGATCATGAACAAACAAACACCATACAAGAGCTAGCGAAGCCGAAATGTAATAAAACTTACGAGTTAATTTTTTCTGCAGTAAGTCCAAACTCATGGAAATTAAAAAAATTCCAAACACAAAAAAATAAGGAAAAGAAAACCCAGCAATTATCAAACTCAGAAGCCAAATAACCAATCTAATCAAGCCAACTAAAACTAAATTAAACCCCAAACGAAGCACATGTCTTACACATCAATAACTATCTGCTCATCTTGTTTTTCAGCTCATATTGTGATTCACAATGTGAAAAGTGAAAAAGAAAAAGGTTTTGACAGTGCATGTGATAATTTCCTATATTTTCTTTCAGTGGGAAGCATAATAATTGATCAAGAAAGTCCAAAAAACATATAACTAAGAAATGAGTAACAAAGGTAATCTTTACCAAGAACAAAACATTTCAAACAAGTAGAACCACGTATAATCACATTGGCAATGCTGGTTATCTAAACATAGAAATTAGCTGAGCATAAGCTGCACAGAAATTTCTCATATTGAAATAAAATTCCAAGAAATCTATCAAACTCCTCACCCTTTGTCTTAATTGAACCCAAATCCATCTCAAATTGAACCAAAATCAAAGAATGCAAGTTGGAAGTGACCCAAACTCCAGAGAAAGAGAATGTTTATATTCTTTAGATTCCTGTGCAAATTACAGAATTTTCATTGAGCTAGAAGCAAGTTTAATTTGTTTTAACATAGAAAAAAGATAGGAACAAAATTTCAAGCTACCTTCACAAAAATATCAGTAGATGGTAAGATTTGGAACATGATATCCAATCTTACTTTATTTATCAACAATGTTAATTCACGGCAATTTAAGGAGAACAGAGAAGATAATGATTGTAAAAGGTTGAAAGTTATGATCTTCCATCTACAACGTTTACTCAAAGCACTGGGGAAGATCAATAGCAGCAAGAAACACTGAAAATATTCAAGGAATGCCAAGTTTCTCTACAAATACTAATACTTCAGGGGATTGGACTGGACATTGGTACACTTAATTACATCGATAACAACAAAATTATGCAAACAATGTTGAACAAAAAAATCTGCCTAGATCCTGTTATCACAGTCAAATAGAAAATGAAACCAGACATTCAGAATTTTTTTTTGAAACAGACGGAAAACAACTTGGAGTTACAAGACCAACCACAAACAGCAAACCAAGTTTCAAATTGATTGAATCTAATTGAACCTTCATTTTATCTTTGAGGAACATGAATTGGTGTAAAGGTAGAAGTGACTTCTTATGTTGATTTGGTTCATTATGTTTTTATTTTGACCACAGCAAAGAACCTTGACGATTACCCAAAAAGAAAAACTAAAAAAGAAAATGCAAAGAACCTACAAAGATCGCAGCAGTTATAATCAGAACACTATATGATAAAGTTACCATCATCACCACCAAATGATGTTTGTCTGAGAGAAAAAATCTGAACACACATGGATACCCTAACCATTTATCTGAGAGAGAAACGCTAATCCAGTCAAAATTGAACCCCAAATCGATTACAAATTGAACAAACAAAGAAAACAAGTTGGAGTCATACATTGAATCCAATAATCACAGAGAGAAAAGGAAAGGGATAACAAGTTCTACCGTCGTTGGCGTCGTTCCTCGTTCGTTCGTGGTTCATCGGCGTTCGTCGTGGCTCGTCGGTGATGGTCTTGGCTCGTCGGCGTTGGTGGTGGCTCGTCGGAGTTGGTCGTGGTTCGCGTTGGAGGTTCGAGCGTGAGAATTTCCAAATAACGTGTAAACAGGCTTTACTTCAAGTAGGGATTTGGGCTTTACAAAATCTCTCCTTCAAATCCCAAGGATTTTTGAAGTTCCTCTTAGTGGGCTTGCCAAACTAGGTATTTGGGCCCTAGGGATTTGTAAATTCCATAGCAACCCAAATCCCTCGACCAAATCACTCATTCGAACAGGCCCAGAGATCCATAATCACAGGAAAACCACAGGTGTAACTTGTAAGCCATAGCAAACCAGAGGTCCTCCTCCTCGTCTCTGACGGCCCAGAGATCCACGACCTCATTGACTACAAATTCCTCCTCCTGCGCAATCCGTTTCCAGCCCTTAGTTAAAAGCATGACAAAATAAAAAAATGTCATCCAACTTAATACTCAACCCGACTACATCTATACACACACCCCACGAGTCTCACCACTCTTCGTATTAAGTTTTAGAAAAAACATCAACTCCTCTCCTTGCCCATTCAATTAGTTGAAAATTTCAAATGTGAAATCTCATATCAAGTCTTCCTGCTATAAATTCAATGATGCAGAAAGTGTAATTAAGACCTAGATTTCAATCCTATATAGCAGGAACAAGAACATGGCCCAGGAGATTTCAATCCTCAAGAAGGAAACCATAAAACCATCTTCTCCAACTCCTCACAAACTTAAAAGCTTCGAGCTCTGCCTTTTGGATCAGCTTACTCCTGTAGGATATATGGCCCTCTTGTTCTTTGCTACCCCACCAATGAGGTTACAACTTACAACAGAGAAAATATCTCAGCAGCTAAAGAAATCACTCTCAGAAGCCTTAACTAGCTTCTACGTACCCACTTGCTGGAAGAATCAAAGATAACGTCTTTATTGAATGCGATGATGAGGGGGTTATCTATGTTGAAGCTCGAGTCAACGCCCTTGTCTCAACCTTCCTTGACCAACCCAATTTCGACATACTAAAATCATGCCTCCACATTTTGATTGGATCCCCTGAAGCAGCCACAGGGATGCTACATTTCTTTGAGTGTGGTGGATTGGCAATAGATGTTTGCGTGTCACACAAGCTTGCTGATGTGCCAACTTTGGGCACATTCATCAAAGCTTGGAAGTGCGCAGAGACCTATAAGAGTTGAAGATGCCACTAGCCTCATTTGGAGTTGTGCAATGAATGCATCAAAACTAAGTTCAGGGTTTTCAAAGTCATCAATGGTGTCACATTCTGTAAATATACGCAAACGGGTTGTGCCACCATTGCCACCAACCTCAGTTGGGAACCTTGTGGGCTACCACGCTGCAATGGTGGAGGAGAGTGGGATTGAGTTGAAGGAATTAGTTTCTCAACTGCGGAAGGGATGGTTGAATTGAATTTAATGAAAACCATCCCAAGAGATTGAAAGGGGACAATGTGTTTGAAGCCATTTGTTAGTATTTTAAGGAGATAGGAAATATTATGAGTGGAGATGACATAAACTTCTTTATCTGTACAACTGGATGCACCTTTAGAATGTAGGAGATTGATTTTGGGTGGGGAAAGCCAATTTGGGTGAGCATACCTGGTGATATACTCAAGAATGTTGCTACTTTGATTAACACAAAGGAGGGTGATGGAGTGGATGCATGGGTAAGTTTAAGTGAGGAAGACATGGCCTTATTTGAACGTGAACCGGAACTTCTTGCTTTCGCTTCTTTAAATCCAAGTGTATTTGGACCTGTAACAAGGAGATCTTCTCTTTAGTTTCTTAGGATTTATTTGGTGTTTTTGCTGGTTTTTCTCTTCTTCTTTTGGGATAAGAATTTTGTGTATTTATGTAGTTTGAAATTGAACAAAATGCAACTCTGCAATGCCAAGGAACTCTACACTCGATGGCATAAGTAAACTGTTTAAGCTCATGGCTCATACAAAACACTATTTTAAGAGATTTGCCAAAGATGCTTTACTTTTCAATGGAAAATGAAGACAGAGTATTAGCAACACCCTATGAATAATTATAAAACCTTGAAAATGCTACATTAGTCGGAATTCAATACATTTCCCAAATTTAAACAATTCCATCGTGAATGCATAATGCATATGTACAACCAGATATGCGTTGGGTTTATTTTAGCCATCAACTTCTTCTCGCGCCAGCTTCAGGCATCCCTTACAACTAGAGAAATGAATTACCACTTTGTTCTACAATCCCATTATTCTAGGACTTCAATCTTCATGAAACGAGCTCCATTAAATGGCTCTCAAGTTTTCCTGGAAGTGGTACAGTAACATCAGCAGGTCTAATAGACATGTTTCCAAGTTTGTTGCCTTTCTTCTGAAGTCGACAGGTAGGGGTAGAAACTGATCTTGCACCATTTGAGACATTGAGACATCGGTTGGGCATGCACAAAAGAGTGGCCAGCAGTTACTCTGTTGTCTGAGCCATCCAAGAAGTAACTTCTTCAGGAGTTTCAACTTCTATCAGTTGTGCACCTGACCTTTTTTTTATAGCACTTCCTTTGATTTTGCAGAATCTCATCCTTCGCTCATAAACTTAAACATTTTGGGATGTCACATGACAACTTGAACCAAGTGCAACATAATTCATAGCACTTCTACTTCCACATCCTATATTCATGAACGTAATGCACCGCGGAACTGTCTACTCATAAATTCCTGAGCCTTTAGGCATCCATATATTTTATGTTCAACCAAGGCAAATCTCTTTTTTCTGATTGGGAGGAAAAAGAATTGTTCGATAGGACCGAACCCCTCAAACTGAAGCCATATCTGATCAAACAACATGGGATCATGCCCCTTGCATGGATCAGCATGATAACCTGACATAGGACTGTGCAGAAAGAGTATGAATTCTAAACAGTGATTGAAGTAATTGAGGTTCATGCACGTTCTGTACCAAATATTTAAGAAGGATCTCTATAGCAGTTGTTCATGGAAGATCTCCTCAAGAATTCCGCCACCAATTTGGAGAACGCAGACGAACTATCCTCAAGTAACCGAGTTGGAGAATCATACTCTAAAACCTTGCCTGTATTAATCAAAAGTTAATAAAATCAGTTCAATTCATGTCACCTAAGCAATTTTAAGTTTTTCAATTAACCGTAAATGTTATTTCAGATTTTTCTCTGCCACTAGATCCAGGTTTCAATATTAATATGCTTCAACTATACTATCTGCTAAAGTGGAATGTTCTATCCATTTTGGAACATATCTACAAAGCAGGTTATACTAACAATACCTTCACCAAGAACTAGAACCAGGTCATTGTCGATAACCGTAGGAATCCGGTGAGCCACAGTGATCACTGTGCATCCACTCGTTTCTTTCCTTATTGTCTCCTGAATTAGAATATCGGTTGCGGTATCAATAGAAGCTGTAGCCTCATCCAACACAAGAATTTTCCTTTTCTTTAAGAGCACTCTGGCGAGGCAAACAAGCTGCCTCTGTCCAACACTCCAGTTTTCTCCGTCTTCAGCAACTGTTACATTGTTTGAACGAATTAAACAAGTTGGTGAATGTGACAAAAAATAATAACTGAACTTCTTTGGTTGCTTATATATTGAGTGGATTTTTTGATCTTCATACCAGGTGCATCAAGAAGCCTTTGGTCCTGCCTAACAATCTCTGCCAGTCGACATTGATTCAGAACCTGAGTTATTGAATCATTGAGTTATTGAATCATATAAGTAACATTACCACAATATCATTCTTGTAAATAAAGGCTTTGACCCTAACCTCCCAGAGTTCTTGATCAGAATGCTGTTGCAAAGGATCCAGATTGGTCCTCATGGTACCTTGAAATAAAATTGGGTCTTGTGGAATAATGCTCAACCTTGACCTTAAGTCCTGCAGGCCTATTTTAGAAATATCCACACCGTCAATAAGAATCTGCCCTCCTGAGGGTTCCACAATCCTAAAGAGAGCTTGGATCAAAGTGGACTTTCCACTCCCTGTCCTGCCCACAACTCCTATTTTCTTCCCTCCAGGGAAAGTGCAAGTGATCCCTTTGAGAACAGTCGGGAGAGCTGGATTATATTGCACATGAATGTTTTCAAGTTCAATTTTTCCTGCCATTGGCCATTCAGGAACTGGTCTACAGTCTTCAATCACTAGTGGTGCTTCACTTGGTATATGTGTGAACTGAAGAATTCTCTCAACTGATATCATTTTGTTTTCTACATTACACATATTCCATATCACCCAAGCCTGCAGGACATTTAGGTTTAAACCATAGGTAGCAGCCAATCCTGCCAAACCTGAGACCAAAGCAACATAGACAGTTAACTTTTAAAGCTTATGGTGATCACAATCATATTACCTCATATTTCATCTGGGATTCGAGGGGCTTACTAGGATCAATAGCAGACCTAGGCAGGCTGACCAAGATGATAAGAAGAAGGAAGAAAACAAGGTTGAACAGAAAATTGGTCCGAACAGACAGCCATTCCATCGTGGCATAATTGTGAAAGGCTACTCGGGAATAATCATCAATCAGGTCCATTGTTTTCATCAAAAAACGGTCTCCTTGATTGAAACAACGAAGTGTTCCTGCACCTGTGATTGATTCTGAAAAGTGATGTAGAATTGGAGCCTTTCGAATTCCAACCATCCGGGCGAGTTCTCTGGCTGTGGTAATGTAATAAGCCTGCAAAAAATATAAAACAAGATAAACACCGGTGTACCAAAGTACTTAATTATGAGCTCGAAGAAACATTAACTTTCTCATTATGAAAAAATAAATAACCCATAATATTCTTTACAATGTGTGATGCACGTAGGGAAATATGGTTTAGATTTCCTTGTAGGTAGAAGGAGTTTGGTTATAATAAAAAAACATGGAAAAATAAATTCGAAATGGGGTTTTTCTTACTTGATACCACATGGAGAGTGCAAGAACGCCAAGGAAAAGAACGAAGACTTGCCAGGCCACTTGAGACATAAGGATGATGATGCTTATTAGCTGGATGAGGGCAAATGCCAATCCAGCTATTCTATATGGAATATCCATGTCTACTGTGCTTTGATCCGTAGAACACTGTAACCATTGTAATTTTTTCAGAAAGAAAATAAGAGTTAACTAGTAAAACTTGACATATACTTCACAGAGTTTAAATTTATTAAACTTTCAAACAGGAAAGAAATTTAGAACTGACCCTATTGAGGATTCGACAAGAAGGCGTGGAGTCGAAAAATAAAATCGGTGCCCGGAAAAACTGAAGTAATCATTCCAAGGAAGAGACGCTGAGCAGTCTGAATAGCAATAGTTGACAGAAAAAGTGCCCTTCCCAGAATGAAGATGGAACTCCCAGCAGATAACAGAGCAAATACCCACATCAACCGCTCTTTGCTGACCTTGTGTTCTTTCTCTGTTGCCCAAGCAATCCAGTAATTGCTCCCCATTTGTAGTCCCTGGAAGAAGACTTGACAGAGAAGGATGACCGGAACAAGAGCACCTCTATAAGCAGAAGTGACGAAGGTTGAGTAAACACGCCATTTCACTCGACCAGTTTCTGCCTCTTCTTCATTACTTTTTTCTGAAAGCTTCCCATTGTTGATGGCCTCTTTTTCTTCTAAAACCTCTATTAGATTAACTTGATGAGGTCTTCTATTAAAGGAATCATCTTGTTGGCATGTGTTAACTTGGTCAAATGATTTTTTATGCGCCGACATTTGTCTGACAAGTTCACTGTTGGGATCCGCAATCAAATCCTCATATTTTCCAGACTCAGCAATTTGACCATCTTTAATTACCTATTGACAATAGAATTGGACTGGAGAAATAAGAGACTTGACAAAACACGTTAGTATCTGAGTAGGGCAGCAAAAGAAATCCAATAACTTACCAAGACAAGGTCAGCTGCTTCTAAAAATTCTAATTGGTGGGTAGCGTAGATGACAGTCTTCATGGACAAGTGTTGTAAGAGACATTTCTGCATAACATTCCAATTTCTGATTAAATCCATTTTAAGACATGAACACAAATATAGAAGTACATGAACACAATTTCTGATTAAAATGATAAGAAATTTGGCTTGCCTTAAACAAGTGTGTTCCTGTATGTGCATCCACAGCACTGAAAGGATCATCCAAAATGTAAACATCTGAATCACTATAGACAGCTCTAGCCAGTTGAATTCTTTGCTTTTCTCCACCACTTAGGTTCATCCCTCTCTCCCCCACTACAGTCAAATCCCCATCTTCCCACGTATTGACATCATGATCCAAAGCACAAATTTCCAAAACATACTCATAACAGCCCTTATTCATTTCCTTGCCAAACAACACATTCTCCCTTATTGTTCCAGTTTGAATCCAAGCACTTTGTGGAACATAAGCTTTTGTTCCATAAACCTTTGCTCCTGCCCCAGAAATTTTGGGAATCTCACCAAGTATACTAAGTAGTAGGCTTGACTTGCCAGAACCAACAGAGCCACAAACTGCAACCTTGGATCCTTTCATTATCTCTATCTTCTCTGTAACTTTGATTGTAGGTTTCTTAAAGTCTTCCTCGGTTGTTTTCCATGCATACTCTCCTGCGTCAAGAACAACCATGACATCGGATACTTTTGAAGTATGGCAAGGAATCAGCTTCATTTGATCATCTTTGACAAATTCTTGGATACGATCAATAGATACCTTTGTCTGAGTAATCATGGAAATGAGCTCTGGCAGGTTGTAGATAGGCTCTTGTAGAATTCTAAACGTAGCTAAAGCAGACAATACCGTACCTACTGTTAACGGTGTATTTAGTCTTATGCATACACCAAAAGTGGTAACTGAGACTAGAGTTGGTGAAGCCCAGAAGAGAAAGGCCACTGCTGAGCATGTATAAAGGTATCTCTTCAGCCAATGCCTCTCTGTTTCCCTGAGTTGAAGCAGCTTCTTCAAGAATGTGGGCTCCCATGAGTGCAACTTTAAAACTCTCATGCTCTTCAGAATCTCTGATGTTACTTTGATTCTTGAATCGTTCGCTTCCATGATCTTGGAGTGAAGCCGTTCTTGCATATTGGCCAAAGGTGTGTTGCATACCATGATCAAAACCGTGGAAAGAAGAGCAGCAGCAGAGGGCGCCGCACCAAGATTCCTGTAAAGGATAGCCAGTGCCAAAACTACTTGAAGTGGGAGCAACCAAATACCATGAATGTACCAGCAGAAGTCTCCAATTCTTTCTACATCCACATTGATTAAATTAATAATTTTTCCATTGCTTGGACCAGAATACTTTATGGAAATAGATTTCTTGTAAATCAACACAGTGAGAGCTGCTCGTACTCGTACACCAATGAGGTGAGCACCAAAATACCACTGCCTCTGACTCAATGATTCCAATGTCTTAGCAATGAAGAATATGAACGCAAGAATCAACCCATGGTGGATGCTTGAATTGTCATTCTTTTCAAGCAAATAATTTACAAAATTTGTAATTAGGAAAGGACCTATATATGATGCAGCCGTATTGGCTCCTACAAAAAAAATAGAAAAAAGGCATATAAAAACATGCACGACAAAACTGAAAATGAAAAGGAAAAGGAAAAGTGATTCAATAACGAAGAGTTACCTGCAAAAACAGCATTTATGGCTAATGATCTTCGTATAGCCCGCATTATGGATTTTGGCAAAGAAGAATCTTCCATTTTCTGTTTCCTCAGTGACTCATCAAGCACATAGGAAGCATTTTCTGCTCTTTCTGAGGGAGGAACATGTGGAATATGAGGTAGTTCCAGTTTCTGGATTCGACCCCTTTTGAAAAGTGGGTTCAGCCATTGAAATGTAGCCTTGCTCCAAATTCCGGCTTTCGTGTAAGTATCAGTGTTTTGGGGGGGAGTTTCATCTTCCTTCTCAAGTAATGGGTGCTTAAGGTCATTTTTTTCCTGGGCAGCACATCTAAAGGCATTGAAGAAAAGTAGTACTGACAGAGGAAAGGAAGCAAATTCAACTATGTTAGCCTTGGGAAGAATATCTGGCAAATCTATGGATCTGAAGTGAGTAATCAGGTAAAGGCACAGAGAAAGTGAGTAAAAACTGCAGGAAAAGATCCACCAAATAATGAGGACCCAAGGCCACCTATTTTGCTCACTGTGAATTGTGTTCTTGGAGTAGACTGTAATTGGTGTGGCTAAAACCCAAGTCATGCCAGAGAAGATTGATTTACAACTTATAATTCCACCACCAACCCAATACTCATAAATGCCAAAACCAAGGTAAAAAGTTGAGATTAAGGCATTTGCAAGAATGGTAAGCAAAGCAAAAACTTTACATCCTCTGTCTGCTCTATGTATCAAACATGTACGATTGCTACCACCACCTCTTCTTCGTCTCATAATATCCAGCAAAACCCACGTCAATAAACCTATGAAAAACGCTACACTAACAATCTCCAGCGATATATCCATGGAGAGCAGCTATAAATTCTAAAACTTTCAGAGTCAAATTAGTTCTGGACCAATCTAGAACCGAAAGATGTCCAAAAATAAACTACGTACAGAGAGAGTTGAATCAATGACGAGACCTGCGTATAAAAACGTCAATGGGATAAGAACAATGGCACCCCAATTCAGATAAGCAGTGAAAAAATTAAACCCAACCCAATTGCCGTTGAAATATCGCAGCAGCAGCAAACAAGAATTTGGGAATATATATATATATATATATATAGTAGGGTCGGTTTATACAGAAGCAAACCTGTGAATGTATGAAGGACGCACGTGGCTCTTCGGTGCGGGGTGGTGACAAGAAAGTATCAAATGTAGGTGAATGATTCAATCAAACGCCTAGTGGCTGTGTCTATGCACTGTGCAGAGTCCCTTGGATTCTTATAAAGAAGAAGAACCAGCACTGAGGGACGTACTAAGCGTGCCCAAGTTGGAATCTTTACGTTGCTATTTATAATTGGAATAATGTACCCAACATTCCCCTCATTTTACAAAATTAAAATAATATAGGCATATATGTAATTTAATTTTTTAGATGGAATGAAAAAAAAATTATATTATACTATAAAATGAAGGAACCATCCACGTCTTACAATCTTTGGCCCGCGCCCTGCATCTCTATCCCTTTCAGCCCTGTGAGAAATTGTTATTTATTTATTAGATAAAATAAAATAATCATTAGTTTCTGTAGAATATCAAATGGGACCAGCCAGAATCTTAACGTCATTATCTACTTATTTATTAATCGATTGCTATCTTCATCTGTGGCCTGAAATTCCAACCTTCGAATATCATGATTCATGAAACAAAAGAATGTGTTCATGCATGTCTTCACTTCGAGTACACACTTCTCCTCTTTATGACCTTTTTGTTTGGACTTTTATTTTTAATTTTAAATAGAACAAGGAATTAGGCGAGATTAGCTCTTCAGTAATAGTCATCGGATGAACAAACATCTACAACCCTCAAAAAGGGGAAAAAGAAGATAATGCAATGCAAGGAATTAAATGGTGAGACAAAAGTTTTCGTCATTAAACGAAGGAGTTTGGATCGCCTAATATATTTGAGTTTTGGTAAGGGATGCTATAAACTTTTGTGTGATGAGAAAAAACTGTTGTGATGATTCACGCATAATAGTTACCAAAAATATGAGAGAACATGCCTTATTACCAGTTGTGTGCACAGTGCACTGCACCATACAAGCAATGACACTCAAAAAACCTCTCCGAAAATAGACACATAAGTAATGGGTTAGAAAAACATTGTATAAGTTGGTGACATTAAACATTATTACCAAAACAATATATTCATTACCACATTGATTCCTATAATATTTTAATTTATTCAAAAGTTGTCTACTCCATAGTGTATACCTTTTTGTTTTTATAACACATCACGTTGTGTGTGACATGACGTGTGGGTGTGACGTGTATACACTCGGGATAGGTAAGTATTTTTGGCATTTTAATCCAGCAAAGATAGTAATTGTAATGACCAGAAGAGAGTGTGTGGAGTGATGAATTGGCGTGACCAGCTTGTTGAGGGCGTGTGTGTTGCTGAATGGTCCGGACCACCGTACTTACTTTAATGAAAGCAGCCACATGGTGGTGGGGCTTGGTCGTGTGCTGGGTAAAAGCAAACTCACTGTAACTGTGTGTGGCCCTCGTGGCAATATTACATTTGTTTTTCTAAAATTATCAACAATCACTTTTCCTGGTTGCCTTGCAGTTTGCTAACCCACTTTAACAGCAGCCACTAGTAGGCAATTTGACAGCACTAGTTCATCCCACATGCTTTATTAGTTTGAGACAATTATAATATTCCCTTCCTCCAACACATTTTTTAAATTAAATATTTGTTATTTTTATTTATTTATTTTTGTTTATAAAAAGAAGTTTATAAGGAAATTGACTACTCTCACCATCAGAAGTAGAACATACCCACAACCTCGCGCCATAAGGACTTATATGTAGCACCCAACTGCCAGATGTCATTGATGTGAATTTATGTAGGAAATTACATATCGTGCATTAATGAGGATTGCTGGCAGTAGGACTCGAACACTGGTTGGACTACACACAGTGTATGAACCTTACTAACTGAACCAACCCTCATTGGTTATTTTGATTAAGGCATTTCATAACTAAGATGATTATGTGTCATAATTTTTCTTTTTCTTTCCTCCTTGGATAAATTCTTATTTATGGATTTCCAAATCTGACCTTTTTCTTGATGATAATGCTTTTTTGGTATACCAATGCTCCTCATTTTGTGAAGAAAACAAAATCATGAAAAGTGAATAGCAATTTAAAAGTAATGATCCAAGCTCAAAAGTTTTTCTAAGTAACCTTATTGGTCCAAGGTGCAAAACTTGGATCATGGAAATTAGACGTGTTCATTTCATCTTTGTCTTCTAAATAAAGGTCGTCAAAATGAACACTTACAACTTTGAAAAGATTTATTTTTAACTTTTGTTAAATTTCATGCATGCATCCAGAAACACGAAGTGGAAAAATTTGATGACTTTTCATAAATAAATAAAAACTCAAATTTGAATTCCCATTCTTGTTCAAAATGATACCACAGACAGATGTCCTGTCACGTTGTTGTGGAATTTTGTCCCATAAAATAGTGATTCTTCTGCAGCTTTCTATCCTTATTAGCAATTCCCCTTTTTGCCTTTTTTATATATAAATATTTTAAGTTTAATTTCCAGAGCATAGGCACTATAAAATATAGTGTGATTCATGTTCATTTATGAAAGTAACGTTATCCTTTGTGCTCTCCTGTGCAGTGCAGCCTCTTTATTTTTATAGGTTTTTTAGGTTTTAGACATAAAAAAATTTTCACTTTTGGAAAAAGCCAAAGCTTTTTCAAAAAAGACAGAAAAACCGCTCAACTTTCAAATCAAAGACATGCAAATGTATTGGATTCCTTAGGAAATCCAAAAATAAATAAGGGCAAATTTGTCCATTTTGGCTTCTTTTACAAAATTTCTCTCTCCTTTGGATTTTTCCAAAATCTCCCTTTTTTTATTCCCTCCGGCCATCTCCCTCCCGTTACTTTTATATATACCTAAATTTCAACCCATGTGACTTTTGGCCCTCTTTTCTTTTTTGTTGTCATTCGGCCCAACAAAAAAAAACATTTCAAATCATTAGATTCTTGAACTACATGAGTGTGGAAATTATTTATAATTTATGAAAAGAAAATAGGTGTATGGCAGCCTCTGAGGACTTGGAACTTTTACTGCAAACCGAACCCTAAACTTGACCCGAATATTCTAAGCTGCTGATATTATTGCCGAAGATCAGGCCAAATGGAATTCATGAGGTACATGGGTTTCTTTCAGAAAAAGACGACATGTTAAATCAATGCACAAATTTCAGGGAATTTGGTTGAATTTTAAACCGGAAAACTACATGACTGTTTGCACAGATGAGGAAATGAATGAACACAGAGTGTCGACATTTTTTCGAAAGAAAATAACGTAAGAAGGAGAGAGGATGGAGAGAGGACCACGCATGGACCTAACCGCAAACCAGCCTTTTGGTTCACGCCTATTGTACCAACTCCTCGAAAGATCCAGATTCTGATGATATTCATGCAAGTGTATAGCACTTTTGAGTCTGGCCACAAATTTTTGGCAATCACAGATATGACCCCACGGCCATGACTCTGTCTGTGGAGAAACTTCACTCGCATAATTGTTATTAATTTACGTGTTATAATATAAATAAACGATATAATTAAAAATTTCATAAATCTAGAATAAGTTAGCAATACATATTTTATAACATAAAAAAATTAATAATATCACGTGTCTATATGACGATCACATGCGCCATCTTCTGTCATGTTCATGAAGATTGAAAGTGGTAATCCAATTTAATGGAGTAGACTTGTCATGTGGGTTGGGCATGATTATGCCTTGATATTCATTTTGAAAGTTCATCCCATTAATACGAGGGATTGGGCCCTATAGATATTTGGAGAGAGGTCAAGAACAGTAAGAATATTATATCATAAGACAATCAATAGTACGTGGCTTGGTCAAGGACAAAGGACAATTTAATTTGTAGGCAGTTCCATCTGTACTGGAACAGTAATAGGATCCTTTTCATCTGTACTGGCCCAATTGTCTTTAATGAATCTTGCTTTCAGTCCAAAAAGAACACGTCAACTCAGATTCATGATCAGGCTGCCGTATTGGCTCCTTCACATATGAATGAATAAAAGCATATAAAAACCTGCAGCATACAGCATGATACGTCTGAGTATGCACAGGAACCACATTCATGACCCACACAAGCAGATCAGCCAGGCCAGCAGCAACTGCGGATCTTTTGAAGAAAAAATACATGTAATTAAACAAATCGATAGCAACTCAATTATAAAGCATGCATGATGATAGAAATATATATACCAGGCCTGATCAGGATCGTTAGCAGGGCAGAAACTGCGGCTCTTTCCAAGCTTGCGATTGTTTTGGCATGTAGTGGGGTGGTTGAATATGATAAAAGCAGAAAAGGCCCTTCAATCTTGGCATCGAACGCATCCGGCTGCGACTTGATGATCTCTTCTTGGAAAGCTTGACAAGAGAGACACTTCAAAGAAACTTTATACTTTCTTCTTCGCTCTTCCCCCACGTACAGAGCCATATAACCTTCTGGAACTTGAACTTGATCTCCATGCTTATGCCTTTTGGACTTCTCAGAGGCATGCTCCAACTTTTGGTATGGGTTCTTGGAGTGGAAACCTTTGCCTGATTTTTTGCTGGACAAGACTTGCAGTGGTCATGGTGATGGTCTCTTAGACTACGTGAAGTAGAAGGAGGGTTTCTAATTAGAAGCTAATAGGGCAAGAGAGAGTTAGAATTACTTGGAAGAGAAGGAAGGGAAAAGGGTTGAAGCAAGGAAAGGAAGCCATTATTGAAGCAAAGAACTTTCACTTCAGAGAGTTCAAGGAAGAAGAAGAAGAACCAGCAAGAAACGTATGGCGTTGTGAAGTTTCAAGTTGGTAAAATGCATTATAAATAAGGAAAGAAGCCACACCCAAATGGTTGTGGTGGGCCTAGGGACGAGGGAGGTAGAAAAACAGTGCAAACCCTCGTGGCCATACCCATATGACAAACTTCCTTAAATTTTACATCACATCTCCGTATTCAATTGGGATTTTCCCTCCCTCCATTTTAAACCTTTGTCTTGTTGTCCGCGTTAGCATTTCGTAATTTAGATGAATTTATATGCGAATGTTTTTCTATTTAAAAAAATAATTTGTTATTAATTCCTTTCCCATTTTGTTGATGAATTACTACTATCGAATTAATAGTTTATCGGTCGATTTGGAGGGTTTTCGGTTGAAAATGCTAGCCATACGGTGAGGGGCGGATCTATTAAGGCGCAAGGAGGTGCAGCTGCACCTCCCTTCGCCAGAAAAACCATTGTAGGTGCTTCAAATTGTCCCTTTGCTTAACTGGTGTACAGATTACCTTATTTCCATTTTCAATATTTAAGTAAATGTCTTTGTCTTTTACTTTTATTTATTTTTATATTACTCCATTTACTTAAGTTTACAATGTAAATAAGGAAGTACCCTCCATTTGGATTCAAATAAAAATACTAGAAAATCAAATTCCACAAAATCAAAATATAAAAATTCGGTTTTAGTGCAAAATACGATTTAGGCTAAAAATAATGGCTCATTAAGTCAATATATACTTCATACTAAAATCCCATAAAATCAAGTTTTCTTATTTGATGTATAAGGAATAAAAGCCGCCAAAAATTATCTTGAGAAAATGATTATTCCGAAAAACCATTTTCATACTTAGTCAATATTGCACCTCTGCTAACAAATTTTTGGATCCGCCATACGGCAATATGACATTTTTCTAAAATTATGAAAAATCACACTTTTCATGGATGCTATCACGCTACCCTTTTAACAGCAACCCCTAGTCCCACTCCCACGTGCTACTTTTCACAAAATTAGAATTCTTCCACTACAGCAAAGACAAGGGTACGTATAAATAAATTCAAACTTACCCCAATAAATAGAGAAGCTGACCATCTTGTGTTTGGACCTAAACTCAATTTCACTGGCAAACTTTTTCCTTAGTGAAAACTGAATCATTCTGTTTAAGGAAATTTAAATACGACAAAGAAAAACAGGCACGGGTTCCATTTATTTGATGTCGTATTCGTCTAATCTGACCAAACGCTAGATGTCGTACTCCTTTTCACCGGACAACACATGATACCGTAAAAATGGTGCAAATTTAAAGAAGATACCGTTGCGTTGGCCCGCTTGACGGAGCCCAAATTTTTAAAAATACTAGCCGTTGCAATTGCACTACTTTCGTTGATTTTCTCAGTCTCTAAATCTATTTCTTCAGCCTCCTCATCCGACGAAACGTAAAAATCCCTTTTCGATCGGAAAGTTCACATTTTTCTTTCTTGTCTATTGGTATTGGATAGAATCGTTACTGGGTTTGGACGTGCACAGTGATGGCTTCAAGAACGGCGACCAAAGACATTATCACTCTGCGTGGTTCCGCTGCTATCGTCAGCGAGTTCTTCGGTACTTTTTATTGTCTATTGGATTTGATTGTCATTTTTCTTTGTTGGGCTTTGTTCGGTTTCTAAGAAATCTTTCGCTGATCTCTGCATTTCGTATTTCTTTGCAATTCCTCTTTCAGGATATTCAGCGAACAGGTAATTATGACACCGGATCTTGATCTTTGTTCTTGTTCTTTTGTTATCATTTGGGGTTTTTCCCTTTTGGCGATTTACTTCTTGGATCTTGAAACTAATTGTGGTTGGATACATGGGTTTTTTCTTTTAGCATTCTGTACAATAGAGGAGTGTATCCTGAAGAAAGCTTTGTAAAGGTGAAGAAATATGGGCTGCCCATGTTGCTTACTCAAGATGAAGGCCTCAAATCCTTCATCGCCAACCTAACTGCTCAGCTTTCTGGTAAGGAATACCTATTTAGGGTTTTATCATTTCGGGTCTGTTTGTGTCTAATTCTTAATTTAACAACTCAACTTTGAAAGTATGAAACGATTTATTCATCTGCACCAAATACAATTACATGGGTTGGTTGAAATATGTTGTTCTTGGGTGACTGATATTTTATAATCTTCAATCTTGTAAAGAATGGCTGGAATCTGGCAAGTTACAGAGAGTTGTTCTGGTCATACTGAGCAAGGCGACTAATGAGGTTCTAGAGAGGTGGAACTTCAGCATTGAGACTGACAATGAGGTCGTTGAGAAGGGGTAATTCAATTCAACTTTGGATTTTTTTTTACTGTGTCCCTCATGTTGCATACAGTTATCAATTTTTCAATTCTTTTCTAAATCTCTTCTCACTGTTTTGTTTGGTTTGATTGAAGGGAGTCGAGGGAAAAGAGTGACAAGGAAATCATGAGGGAGATTCAAGCAATCATGAGGCAGATTGCTTCAAGCATTACTTACTTGCCGTGCCTTGATGAAGCCTGTAAGAGCACACTCATTCATCCAATTGAAAAAAAATGGATTTCTTTGACCTTGGTGTTTGTCAGGTTCATGTGTTCTGTTCTATTGTTTGCTTTAGGTGTGTTTGATGTTTTGGCATACACGGATAAAGATCTTGCAGTCCCATTCACTTGGGTTGAGAGTGACCCCAAACTGATTGCAAATCCACAAATTGTGAAATTGCATTCCTTTGACACCAAGGCAAGTTCCAGAAATTGAATCCCATTTATTTAATCCATTTAGAAATCTCTTACCATAAAAAAAAGGGAAATGGCTGCTGACAATATTTTTGTTTGCTGATCATGCAGATTCACAAGGTTGACACTCTAGTGTCCTACAAGAATGACGAATGGGATGAGCAGTAGCGGAAGGAGAGGGGAGGCGATATCCATGTTTGCTTGACTTTTGGAACTGTGAATCTTTTATTCACACTTGGTTAGAAAAACTAGTTGGAAAGAGAATGATGACTTGATCTTGTCAGTAAGATCTTTTCCACCTTGGTGTTTGCTACCATTGGATGTTGTATAATTTGTATGTGGTGGGAGGAACTTGTGTTTGAGTTGAATTCATTTCATATAAGACTACTATCTGGCAGTTTTCATACATAAAGGATCTTGTAGTTTCCGTATTCTTCAAAATGCATTCGCATGATTCATGCTGAAAAAAATAAGTTTAATCTGTCCAAAAATGAAGCATAGCAGAAACATGAGAATCACGTATACCCAAACATAAAGTTTGAATAAAATGCAACTCTGCAGTGCCAAGGAACTGTACACTTCATGCCTCATACAAAACGATATAGGGAAGATCTCCTCAAGAATTCCTCCACCAATTTGAAGAATTCAGAAGAACTATCCTCAAGTAACCAAGCTGGAGAATCATACTCTAAAACCTTGCCACTAGATCATGTCACTTAATCAATATCAATCACCCATAAATGTTATTTCTGAATATTCTTTGCCACTAGATCCATGTTCCAATATTAATATGCTTCAACTATAGTATCTGCTAAAGTACTTGAATATGAGCTCCAAGAAACATTAACTTCCAAATTTCGAAAGAACAATAAACCATTATATTCTTTATGTTGCATGATGCACGTTGGGAAATATGGTTAAGATTTTCCTTGTAGGTAGAAGGAGTTTGGTTACAATCAAAATGTTGAAACATGGAAAAATAAATTCAAAATGGGGTTTTCTTACTTGATACCACGTGGAGAGTGCAATCACACCAAGGCAAAGAATGAAAACTTGCCAGGCCGCTTGAGACATAAGGATGATGCTGCTTATTAGCTGGATGAGGGCAAATACCAATCCAGCTAATCCATACAGAATGTCGGTTTCTACTGTGCTTTGATCCGTGGAAAACTGCAACCATTATTATTTTTTCAGACAGGAATTTATTGACTAGTATAACTTGATTTATAGTTTTATACTTCAAAGAGTTAATCAAACAGGAAATAAGTTTAGAACTCACCCTATTTAGTATTCGACTAGAAGGTGTGGAGTCGATATATATATATATATATATATGTGTGTGTGTGTGTTGAATGGAATAATAGTTGGATTATGTTGCCTTCGGAAACATGGTTGCCTTTGGAAATATTGTTGTCTTTGAAAATATACAAATTTATAAATAAACTCAATCCTAGACATGTATTTATAAAAAAAACCCAAGCACTATTTAAACATAAAACACACCTAAAATCAACAATTGTATATTTTTTGGGTGTGTTTATAAATGGGTTTTGAGTGTGTGTAATGATGGGTTTTGGGTGTGTTTATAAAGTGTTTTGGGTGTTGGGTTTTTTTTATAACTTCGGATTATTTTGCGTTCTCAGGTTGAGTATATCTCTCAAAGTCCTGTGCAGGGAATTGACGGATTTGTCTATGCGAGTATAACATTGCCCCACGAGTATCGAGGACGCCGGAACCGTATGGTGCGAGGATTTGTGTTCTCGGGTTGAGTGTATTTCCCTGGGTTCTGCGAGGAATGCATCTCAGGCAAACCATGGGTCGCCTGAGTTCTGCGAGGAATGCGTTTACGGCTGACCTCGTGTCCTCCGAGGATGTATCAAACATGTGGCCACATGTGTGGTATTTGGAATTGACAGTATATTATTGGAATTGATGGATTATGTTTGAGGTGCATCTATATGGAGATTAGTGCAGTACCAACTTGTGGTACAATTAACAGGATATTATTCACCACCCTGCTCATATTATGTGCATAGGGTTTGCCAGGATCCCTAGCCACATGCCCGACTTGTCTACATAGGTGGTTAACTAATTTCCCTTTCCCCTTCCCCTGTTGCCTTCGGATTTGATAGTATTCCCATATACCCCTTCGTGGGTGATTACATGATATATGCACTATGCGCATGATTACATGTATGAATTTCAGGTAAAAGAGTTGGTTATGTAAGTATTTGGATGTACAACGATATACTAATTGAACAGTTAAGTACATAATTTCATGGCGTGATATTTAATTATATAGCTGGTTGAAAACAAAGTAAAGAACGATTCTAGAATTTCATCATTGGTTTCTTTTAAAATAATTTAAATGTTTTAAAAAAATATATATTAAATAATAAGAGAGAAAAAAAAGTAGTCAAAAAGAAAAGGAAACCTTCAGAACCCTCAATCTCCACCCAACCCCACGACGTCTAATTTGCATCCATATATGTTTCATGTTGATGTATAACCCTTTGAGCTGAAGTCCTTGGCGCCAAAGCTGTTTTCTTAGTTTGAATTTTATTCTTTTAGTTTAAATGCTATTTCTGCTGGTTGTAATATGGGCCGTTGGATCATAGTCCAAGTGGCTTCTTAAGTGTTGTGTTAGATTGTGACAGATGTAATCATCTCATAGGATGATAGTTTTAATGGCTAGGATCAAATTTTGTGTAAAGGCAGTTAGAGAAGAATCGCTCTTCTCTCTCTCCTCAACGGGTATATTTGCTCAGTGAAATGGAATGAACAGTACACACTCTTCAGTTTCTAAATTCAGAGCAACGTTCTCTCTCTTTTTTGTTTTCCTTTCTCCCAAACAGATCCAAATACAAAATATAAGTTAAAAAAACTATGAATTCTATCATGGCCTCAGAGCCAGGTTCGATTGTTTGAGCTAGGCGTGATATGTGAACAGTAAATCAAGCTTGATCCGAGCTATCGTTGAGCTGATTCGAAGACCAAAGTGGCGAGTTCTTGAATCTAGGTGTCTAATATGGCAGGATCGGGAGCAGCTGAGCTTCGAACACCAATTTTCAATGGAGAAAACTACGAATTCTGGAGTATTAGGATGAATACTATTCTGAAATCGCATGGTTTGTGGGATCTGGTCGAGAATGGGTTCAATGACTCAGATCTGAAGAAGGAGAAAGAGGAGGCTAAGGACACTGAGAAGTCTATGATGGTTCAGATTCTAATGAAGGATGCTCGTGCACTTGGATTGATCCAAAGTGCAGTTTCATATCAATTGTTCCCCAGGATTGTGAATGAGGAGACCTCAAAGGGTGCCTGGGATATTCCGAAGCTGGAATTCAGAGGAGATAAACAGGTAAGAAATGTTAAATTGCAAGGGTTGCGTAGGGAATTTGAATATACTCGCATGAAGGATAGTGAATCTCTATCTGTCTACCTTGTTAGATTGTTTGATATGTTGAATCAAATGAAGAGTTATGGTAAGGAATTATCTAGGGAGAGAGTTGTGCAGAAACTGTTGTTTAGTCTGCCAAAATCATATGATTCTATATGCTCTGTGATAGAACACTCTAAGGATCTTGAAACTCTGGAAGTTCAAGAGGTGGTTGCCTCCTTGAAGAGCTTTGAGCTCAGATTGGATAGGCACACTGAGAACTCTTCAGAAAGGGTCTTTGCTAGTCTGAATATTGAAGAAAAGAAGTCTAAGAATGAAAGTTTTTCTGGAAATCAGAGTTTTCAGAAAAGTTGGAAGTCTAATGATGGAAACAAAGCAGCTTGTAAGCATTGTGATAAGCTACATTATGGCAAATGTTGGTTTGAAGGCAAGCTTAAATGCCATGGATGTGGAAAATTTGGACATATGATCCGAGACTGCAATGGAAATAAGAATGCACATAAGGTGAATTATGCAAATGAAATGGAAGAAACTGGTGCTTTGTTTTATGTGTGTAATGCTGCAACTGATGTGAAGGTAAATCACTCTTGGTATATTGACAGTGGTTGTAGTAACCACATGACAGGAGATGAGGGACTCTTAGTGAATATTGTTAATGTATGGTTTTTTGTTATTTTCTTTTGGCTTCCCTTGACAACTTTGTAATAGGATGTGTATTGTTATTTATCAAGCTCAAGTTTAGATTAAGGAAAACCTTTCTTAGTGTTCTTCTCTAATTTATGCTCTATGGAGGTTCAAGCAAGTTGACAAAGGTATTGTGCATTGCATATCATGACATTAAACAGTCTTCATAAATGATGACTAGTCATCCGTTTCTCAGATGACTAGTCATCCTTGCTCTGTAGGATTTCCAGCTGGATAACAAACTGTTTTGTCATATTCTTCTTTCTCTCTCTCTCTGCTGCCATGTGGGTTTCTGACCTAAGGAATTTTTTGGTCTGTAAAGGCTACGATTTTGGTCATTTGGCGGCTGTCTCTTTTGGGTGGAAGTTTTGGAAAGTTTGGCTTGCCATCTTTCGCTTCTTCTTCCTCGAGAGAACCATCTTATTTTCATCTATGAGTTTTTCCAATTGATTTCTTTTTGAAAAACTGCTTTTGAAACACGAATCTGCATCTAGCTACTTAAATCATTCTCTCATTTATATCTAGGTGAGATTCAAGACTGATTTCTTCAAGAGTATGGTTTCTTGAAGAAATTGGTCATTCTTCTTTGAATCCAAATTTTGGTTTCGATTTGTGTTGGAGCTTGCAAGCTAGTGCCATGGGATGAACGAGCTGGAGAAGGAGCTGCCATTGCCATGAAGAACTGAGCTTCAAGTTTTGCTAAGTTAGAGAAGAAGATTGCACAAAGGAGGTATAGCTCATCTTCCTAAATAGATCTAGGTTTTTCTTGAGCTTGCTTGTGTTCCTTTGTAAGAATCTTTTTCTACTTAGTGGATTGCTTGGTCGGTTGATGACCCCCAGTTTTTCCCAATGGTGGGTTTCTGGGTGAACAGTTTCTGGTTTCCAACTCTGTAAATTTTCTGGGTTTGTGTTCTTGATAGTTGACTAGTCATCTGGGTTTGTGCGGTTGACTAGTCATCCTTTTCTGCTGTTTGGTGTTTGCTTGATTTTGCTGTCTTCACACACTTTCACCATAGTTGTTGCTAGCACAGGGGATGCCTAGATTGACGGGTCCTTCTGAGTGCCTAGGTTGTCACTAGTAATTCTCTAGGCTTGCAGGTACATCTTTGTATGCTCTGTGTATGTTATTGTTTGGTATAATTCATATATGACAGTTTACTAGTCATAAGAGTATTTGGTCAAGGTCTAGAGTGTGAAGTTTGCTGCGTTCTTGGTTGAATATCTTTTAAATTTACCCCTCGTCACTTAAGTACCATTTTCAAATATTCAAAGGGATTTGACCTCTAAGGTGAAGATGGGAACTGGAGAAGTAGTTCCAGTTGCTGGAAAAGGAACTCTGGTGATCAAAACCAAGCTAGGTAAGAAACCCATTCATGAAGTAATGCTTGTACCTGGTCTTGAAGAAAACTTGCTTAGTGTTGGGCAAATGATGGAGCATGGATACCATCTTGTGTTTGGAGGAAATATGGTGAATGTCTATGATGATCAGTCACTGGAAAATCTGATTGTGAGGGTGCAAATGACAAACAACAGATGTTTTCCACTTACAATGATGCCTGCAAGGGATATGGCTTTGAGAACAAGTGTTTCACACTACTTGCAGACATGGCACAAGAGGTTGGGACACTTAAATGAGAGGAGCATAAAAATGCTTGAAAATCAAGGCATGGTTCATGGCTTACCTCATTTGGAGCAGATTTCAGTGGTTTGTGATGGTTGTATGCAAGGAAAGCAGCACAGAGACTCTTTTCCTTTGGAATCCAGTTGGAGAGCAACAAGTCCCTTGGAATTGGTTCACACAGATATATGTGGACCAATGAAAACAGAATCACTATATGAAAACAAGTATTTTATGCTTTTTACAGGTGATTGCACTAGAATGTCATGGGTGTATTTCATTAGAAACAAGTCAAGTGCACTGGAGTGTTTTAGAAAATTCAAGGCTATGACTGAGCTGCAAAGTGTGTTCAAGATAAAAAGCTTGAGAAGTGACAGGGGTGGAGAGTTTTTATCTGGAGAATTTAACAGGTTCTGTGAAGAATCGGGCATTCAAAGGCAGTTAACAGTAGCATACTCCCCTCAGCAAAATGGAGTAGCTGAGAGGAAGAACAGAACAGTGGTGGAAATGGCCAAATCCATGTTGCATGAGAAAGGTATCCTTTATGAATTTTGGGCAGAAGCTGTAAATACTGCAGTTTATTTGCTTAATAGATGTCCCACCAAGGCTCTCAAGAAGGTAACACCATTTGAAGCCTATACTTGCAGAAAACTAGGAATTGCACACTTAAAAATATTTGGATCTCCTTGTCACGTGCTTATTCCTTCAGCTTTGAGGCATAAGCTTGAAGAAAACAGTCACAAGTGTATTTTTGTAGGCTATGGTCTCTGTGAAAAGGGATATAGGCTGTTTGATCCAAGCACTAGGAAGGTTATTCTGTCTAGAGATGTGCAATTTGATGAAAATGGTTTATGGAAATGGGAGAATGCTAGAGAAGGAGAAATGATAGTTCTTGTACCTACTGAAAACCAAGATGTGCTCAAAGTTCAAACTTGGATACACCACTGCAAATGGATGAAGAAACCACATTACAAGATGAACCAAGTCAAAGCTTGGATACACAAACACAAATAGATGAAGATACTACTGTGCAGGATGAAAGCATTGGTGGAAGTTCTCGAGCTATGGATCATACACCAAAGAAATGGAGAAGTATTAATGACATTATGGCTTAGTGCAATATGTGCATTGTGGAACCTGAGAATTTTGAAGAGGCTGATCTATATGAGTCATGGAGAAAGGCAATGGAAGCTGAGTTGGAAATGATAGAGAAGAATAACACTTGGCCGCTTGTTGAAAGACCTTTTAATAAACCTGTCATTGGTGTCAAATGGGTCTACAAGACCAAACTTAATCTAGATGGTACTGTGCAGAAAAATAAGGCTCGTTTAGTGGCTAAAGGCTACTCACAAAAGCCTGGGATTGATTACAATGAAACCTTTGCCCCTGTGGCAAGGTTAGACACCATTAGAACCTTGATTGCTCTTGCTGCACAGAAGGAATGGAATCTGTACCAACTGGATGTCAAATCTGTTTTTTTGAATGGAGTCTTAAAGGAAGAGGTATATGTGGAGCAGCCACAGGGTTTTGTGAAGGAGAATGAAGAAATCAAGGTGTATAAGCTGAACAAGGCTTTGTATGGACTAAAACAAGCCCCAAGGGCCTGGTATGATGAGATTGACTCCTACTTCAACAAAGCAGGATTCAAGAAAAGTCCTAGTGAAGCTACACTTTATATCAAAACTGATGAAGGTTCAGGTATTCTTATTGTCTCTCTTTATGTGGATGATATTGTTTATACTGGAAGTTGTGCAAAGCTACTTGAAGAATTCAAAAATGACATGATGAAACATTATGAGATGACTGATCTTGGACTACTCTACCATTTTCTTGGCATGGGAGTAGTACAAACAGATAAGCATATATTTCTTCATCAGAAGAAATATGCAATGAAAGTGATTGAGAAATTTGGTTTGAAAGGTTGTAAATCTGTGGTAACTCCATTGGTTGCAAGTGAAAGGTTGTGCAAGGAAGATGGAAGTAAGATGGCAAATGAAAGTGAATATAGGCAGATTATAGGCAGCCTGCTATATCTAACAGCTACTAGACCAGACATAATGTTTGCCTCTAGTTTGCTTGCTAGATTCATGCACAATCCTACCAGGAAACACATGGGAACAGCCAAAAGGGTCTTGAGATATATTCAGGGCACACTAGATTATGGAATTGAATTTAAAAAAGGGAAGGCAACTACCTTGATAGGGTATTGTGACAATGACTGGGCAGGAAGTGAAGATGACAGAAGGAGTACCTCAGGGTATGCATTCACTCTCGGATCTGGTATGTTCTCATGGGCTTCAATTAAACAAAATACAATAGCTCTGTCCACTGCAGAAGCAAAATATGTGAGTGCTGCTGAAGCAACATCACAGACTAAATGGCTAAGGTTTGTGCTTGAAGACTTTGGAGAGGAGCAAGTGGAAGGCACACCAATCTTGTGTGATAACACCTCTGCCATAGCAATGGCAAAGAACCCTGTCTTTCATCAGAAATCCAAATGGCTGTTTTCTCAGTTTGAATTTTATTCTTTTAGTTTAAATGCTATTTCTGCTGGTTGTAATATGGGCCGTTGGATCATAGTCCAAGTGGCTTCTTAAGTGTTGTGTTAGATTGTGACAGATGTAATCATCTCATAGGATGATAGTTTTAACGGCTAGGATCAAATCTTGTGTAAAGGCAGTTAGAGAAGAATCTCTCTTCTCTCTCTCCTCAAGGGGTATATTTGCTCAGTGAAATGGAATGAACAATACACACTCTTCAGTTTCTAAATTCAGAGCAATGTTCTCTCTCTTTTTTGTTTTCCTTTCTCCCAAACAGATCCAAATACAAAATATAAGTTACAGAAACTATGAATTCTATCATTTCAGTCATATTGTAGAAAGATATGAATTCTCAGCCATTAAAATTAATTGCTTTCAACATAACACTCTGCGATTACAATCTTTTTGGAATAACACTTTTGAATTTCGATGAAAATTATGTGTTAAGCAACGCAGAAGACAAATTACTACTTACAGAACAGGGGAGGATAATTCAGCTCCTTCAAGATTTCATGCCAGCTTTTCAGATCAGCAGACAGTTGCTTTTGAGTCCTTAATTTCACATTGTTAGTTTTGTTTGGCAGTCTTATAAATATATGATTGATTAGAAAGGCCATGCTTCTTCTCGGTATCCGCAGGTTCTCTATCAAACACTCCTTAAACTCAAATTATGAGTTGGCAAATTCAACAAAGTAGAATATGTGAGTGCATTTGAATTTCTCTCTAATTTCCTGGTGGATTCCAGATTATTGTTTTTTAGGGTTTTTTTCTTGAAAACCTATTTGCTTGTGCTGCGTCACTAGCGCATAAGGGAAGGGAGACAAATGCAATGCAACCTGAGATCACTTTTACTTGTCCTACTTTCGACTTGGAGTTGGAGAGCAGCCCAATAAGCATTCTTATCTTCAGTTGCAGGAGCAGGTTTTGAAATTGGAGATTACAATGTTAAGCATTCTTACCCCAGTAAATTTACAATTCCTAAACAATACAAAATTCTTTTACTTTCTATATCTCAGAGTAAATATCATTTCTATCAACAAGGTCATTTATTCTTATTGAACTGCAAATGAACTTCAAATTTTCATTATAACCAAATCTCACTTAGCATATGCTTGCCCTATATGAAATGTTGTTAGTAAGTTTATGTCAGTCTCTGTTAATTCCAAGTATACACGGTCTGTAGTAGTAGTAGTTTATATACATTTAATGAATTGGAGGATTTACGAGAGTGATCGGGGAGCCTAATTTGTTGAAGAACTGTCTATTTGCAGTTATTTATCGATTTTAGTTCGCGTCCTCAGTGCATTCCTGGCACTGGAAGATATCTACTACTTTGATGTGTCCATTGAATGTCTATCATTGTTGTATATATGCAGATGGACTTTTATTGTTACTTTGGAAAGAGGTCATCAGTCAAAGGAAGAACTGGTGTGCAACATATCGCGCAGGTGCTTGAGATCTATTTCCTCTGTTGTCCTACAGAGGTAATCAGTTTCTTATTTCTTTGTGGATAATGCATGACATGTTAGGTTTCGTTCAAAAAAATACCCTACGTGCTGATCATATGGTGTATCTTATGCTCGAACCTTAAGACTTGCTTACTTACTGGCATCAGTACGCAGTACGACTAAATTCAAAATCTATTCTGGTATTCATATGTGACTCTTGCATGGTTGCGTATGATCACACAGAACAGAGGCATCTATCTGTTCCTAAAGTTAACAGGACAAAATTTCACCAACATTAGCGAGTCTTATTGGATAGCATGTCATTTGCCGATGGGAATCTCATCCAACAATAAAGTATAAGAACACTTTACTAAAGTTAAAAGATCTAGAAACAACTGGAAAGGATATTGCCATAAAGTGTGCTGGTATACCGTTAATGGCAAAGGTACGTAATGATATATCAATTTGAAGTTTGTTCTGCATGCATTTCTTTATTTGTTACAAGTACTGAAATATTCAGATACACAGATATTCAGATATGGCCCCTTGCAATTAAAATAGTATAGACAAAAACTCACACATGCTTTTTAAATTCTAGGCTTAAATATCAAAATGGTTCTTGTGTTTTACCGTGTTGGCCAATTTAATCCTTATGTTTTCAATTTAGCCAATTTAGTCCTTGTGTTTAGAATAGTTATCCAATGTGGTCCAATCCATTAAATTTACATTATAAACCTTTTTTTTTGTCTTTTAAGAAAAAAAAGAATTAACTTTAAAATATTGAAACTATTCATTAAAACATAGCAAAGGACGAAAAAGAACCTCTTCACCGATCCCTTCACAGCTCATAAGCTGTAATTTCTTCATTTTTCTACAGCTTCTCCAAAGCCAACCCAAACCCCAATCACTTCCAATTTCAGATAAACAAAGACTTTCCAAACCCAATTATGCAACAGAATCCTCGTTGCATCACCCATCTTTTGAACTGGCATCAACAGCTAGCTCAAAACCTTCCCCACAGCAAACCAAGATTGACAATTCATTCAAAGAAGGGAAATTGAGAATCCACAATTTTGTGTGTGACAGTATTTTGATGGTGGTGGCTGCTAGGATGGGCAAGTAGGGGGAGGTAGCTGGGATTGGATGGTGGTGCCTTGTTTTTTAATTTTTAGTTTTTGTTTTTGGATCTCATTTTTATTTGTTTAGTGCTTATTTATTTATTTTTAAATTCAATTCAATTATTATATTAGTTTTTAAAAACTTTTTAACACCAAATTGATGGATTGGACCACATTGGCTAACAGTGCTAAATACAGGGACTAAATTGGCCAAATTAAAAACATAGGGTCTAAATTGGCCAACACGATACAAGGACTATTTTGACATTTAAGCCTAAATTCTAACTAAAACCCAAATTTGAATTCAACGAGAAATTGTCCATTAGCATTGAATTATTAATAAGGATAATGCTTTCCTCCTTGCCATAGGGATAGGGAGGAATTCCTCCTCAATGCCTTATCGATACCTTTTCTAAGATGAATTTTCTTGAATTAATAATTAAAGGGTATTTTGGGAATAATTGTGAGTGGAAAGATATGATTGTTTTTTTTCAAATTTATATAGTGAGTGAGAAAATAAGGTGAGTGGGAAAATATTAATATTGAGGTTAAATTAGTGCACCTAGTTTTGATGGAGCATCAAATTTGACAGTTACTCAGTGTTTCATCTCTTTTCTTTTTTTTAAATTGTACATGTAATTTTTTTCCCTACAACTCATGTAAACGTAGACCAACTTGCATGCATATATATATATATATATATATATATATGCGTTTAATTGACCTACATTTGATGTCATTTAATTATTACCTATCGTTTGTATGCTACTTTATCAATATTTGCAAGTACAATGATTAGGCATATGTACTTAAAAAGTATAGGTAATTTAATAGGTACCAGCATAATATGTAAATTTATATAAGGTACATTAATTACTCACATAAAAATAATAGGATGTACTAAGAAAATACTAAAATGTTACTGGAATTGGCTTGCAAATAATTAATTTGTTGAAAAAAATATCGTTACAATGTAATTAGCATCGGGTTTTACTTTAAAAAATTGGGTTTTATTAATGGAAAAATAAGGTGATGGGTTGTAGATAAGTAAAAATGTGTTTGAAGTGGAAAACCCAAATTTACTATATTTACACACATGAACATTGGCTTAGGATTAAACATTCCAACAAAATACCAGTTTTTGGTGCAATGTTAACATTTACTGGTAACATACAACTAAGTTTATTGAAAAACCAAATTATGTTTCTTGTTAATATTATAGCCAAGTCACCTAGTTAATCTTTAATATATACACTAATTTATGTACCAACAAGTTTTGGGAAGCATGATGCGTTCTAAATATAGTATCGATGAATGGTTGGAAATTCAAAAAAGTAAGATATGGGAATTACCAGAAGGAGATGAAAGAATTATGTCGGTTTTGAAGTTGAGTTTTGATAATTTGAAATCACCTTCTTTGAAATAATGTTTTGCATATTTGTCAAAGTTCAAGAAAGATTTTGAAATGGAAAGAGAAGACTTGATCCAGCTATGGATGGCTCAAGGATTTCTCTGTTCTTCTCTGAACAAAGATATGGAGGATATAGTTCATGAATATTTTACGATTCTGTCACAAAACTCCCTCTTTCAAGAAGTTGAAAGAAGCTATCCCCCCTTTGGTATATTTATTAAATGCAAGATGCACCATCTTGTACATGATCTTGCTAAGCTTGTATCAAGATCTGAAACAGAAGATAAACTTGAGAATCAACACGTGGCATGGGATCCTTCCAAAAGTTTGAAAGAAATGTTAAGAAACGGCGGTCACTGTTTGTGAATGGTGATCAAGCCCTTAGTAATAATACATTACTTATAAGCTTTAAGGCTTTGCGTGTTTTAAATTTGTACAGGGCTGATATTGAGGAGCTACCAAGTTCAATTGGCGTCTTGATACATTTGAGGTATTTGAACGTTTCTCAAACAAAAATCAAAGAACTCCCTAAGTCTATTGGCAAGCTTTATAACCTACAAACGTTAAGAATGAAGGATACATGGAATCTTGAAACGTTTTCAAAGGAAATGAAAATTTTGATCAACTTGAGACATGTTTATTTCCATCGTCGTGATGAGCCAGTTCCATTTGGGATGGGACGATTGAAACATCTGCAAACAATATCTCCTGTTTTTACTTTGGACAAGGAAAGTAATCGTAGTAGAATTGACGAGCTGGGTGGCTTAAACCAATTAAAAGGTGAACTAATTATTAGCGGTTTGGAACATGTGAGGGACAGAGGCCAAGCAAGGGCATCAAATTTAGTTGGGAAAGCACATCTACGAAGGTTGACATTAGAATGGGGGGAGTATGACGAGGAAAGAAAAGAGAAAGACAATGATGTACTAGAATGCCTCCGGCTCAACTCTGTGTTAGAATTCTTAAAGATTGACAGATTCGTGGGTTCTAAATTAGCATCATGGATGATGCCTGGTTCGTTGCCACTCAATTTGACAGAGATTTGGTTAATGACGAAGAAGAAAGAGACTTTGTTTCCAGCATTAAAAAGCTTTCGAAGGGTGGCCTAAGCTCAAGTCTCTGCAGCAACAACAAATTCAACACTGCACTTGTCTACAAGTAGTGTCCATAGTCTCTTTCGACAGCGTGGAGGCTCTTCCAGAGTGGTTGGGTAACCTTACATCTCTTACCACCCTGAGTATCCGTCGGTGTAAGAATCTGGTGTCTCTTCCTTACATTGAAGTTATGCAACGCCTCACCAAACTAAAAAAGCTAGTGATTGATACATGTCCCTGTCTAGGGGGAATATCCACCCTCAAGAACGGCCCAGAATGGCACAAGATTTCTCACATCCCACGTATAGATGGTAATTACAATATTCTCAAATGAAATCATTCAATTCCTTTTCTCACTTAATTTTCCAACAAGTATAAGTTAAGCATTGGGTATATATTTCTAATCTCGGATTGTATTCATTAGATGTGTTGGTAGATTTAATATAGAAATTAGAAATTGTAACCCAATCCTCTAACATAAAATACTTATTGAAGAATCTCCCTTCTTTCTTCAGTATTATTGACCAAACGCTTTTCTAATTAGTTTCTAGATGAGAATCATCGGAATCTTTTTAGTGATGATGATTCGACCAATGCAACCCCTTCACAAACTAGCTAGCACAGTTGGAGCACAAAGTGAGTCTACTCTTCTTCTCTCATCAGATTAATCGTTAAACTAGATTTTCGGAGCTTTCTACTCTTCTCTAGCATCTGCTTAATGTTTTCCATAACTTCCTATATACATTGTTGGTTTGCAGAAGGATCTTACGCAATTGGAAGAACAAATAATGCGCATTAGGTGCAAATTATTCCAGGTACTTCACTTCAGTTCCCTTTCCTTTCCATCGTTATTTACTCATTTCTTTGGAGATCAATGCAGAAGAAAAAAAAAAATTACCCTAATAATCATATCATACATTCCCATCTAATCATAACATCACTTTACTAGCATGGAGGGGAATACGATTATTCTGAGATTTCATTCTCCGATTTATATATGAGAAAAGCATTCACACTTTTGCTTTATATATATATTTGATATTCCTTCTGTTTCAACACAGATTATATACACATGATATACTGTCATTAAGTAGATGCTAACCTCTGTTCATTCTCAATGCACTTAAGTTTGATGCGCTTACACGAATGTGAGTTTATTTTACATATCAGTTTCAGTAATATGTTCATAAATTTTGTTATCATTTCAACTTTTTATACCTTTTCGGGTCAGGTTCATCAGCATTTTTCATCTGCCTCATTCTCACCGCTTGATTCTTTTCCAGAGGGGATGAGGATGTATTTGCTATAGATCCTTGCATGAGGTAGGTGTCCATCAGATGGATTTGTGAAGCTGATCAACGACTATGTGTCATAGCAAGCACAAACTGATAAGGATGAAATATGGTGATTTGCAGGAATCATGAGATAATATTGATACAGACCATATGTGTTGGCTGCCAGTGGTAGTAATCTTGTACGAGCTAGTTCTTTGCTTGTTATGGCTGAAGATCACAGGGTAGCCAAAGCTCAAGTCTCTACCTCAACAACAATTTCAACACTGCGCTTGTCTACAAGATTCGTATATACAGGTTTTCGATAGCGTGGAGGTTCTTCCAGAGTGGTGGGGTAACCTTATATCTCTTACCCATCTGAGGATTAAGGAGTGTGAGAATATGATGTATCTTCCTGCCGTTGAGGTTATGCAACACATCACCAAACTTGTTACATGTCCTGGTCTAGGGGGAAGATCCATCCTCCTGAGTGGCCCAGAATGGCACAAGATTTCTCACATCCCATGTATATTAGGTAATTATATTCTCAAAAGAAATCCTTCATTGTTTGTTCAATTCCTTTCTCACTTTTCTTTTCTTCAGTATTGACCAAACACCTTTTTTAATTAGTTGACCCACTCCCACTCCGAAGATGTTACCCAGCCTATTATGAGCATTCTTTTTCAAGTGGTGATGATTCTGAGAGTGAGCCTACTCTTCTTCTCTAACTAATTATGTTCCTCTCTGATCAGATTAATCATTAAACTATATTTTCAGGGCAGAGATTTCTGCTCTTCTCTAGCCTCTGCTTAATGTTTTCCACATCTTCCTGTACATGTTGTGTTACTGATGGCATTTACTATCAGTTGAATTTGGCACAATTTGTTGGATTTCACTTCCGGAATTGATGATGCGGAATAGGTGCAAACTTAGTCCAGGTACTTCGCTTTAGTTTCCTTTCCCTGCATCATTGTTTACTCATTTCTTTGGATATAAATGTAGAAGAAGAAAAAAATGGTGACTGGGATTGATTAGAATTTACCCTAATAATCATATCATTCATTCACATCTTATAATCATAAGATCACTTTGCTAGCATGGAGAAGACAATTATTCTTAGAAATCATTCTCCTATTTATATATGAGAAAAGTATTCACATGTTTAGCTTCAATCCTTATCATTTGAGATATATACATTTTCCTAGCAATGTTGTGTTTAGTATTGTTTACTTTTTGAAGTGTTTTATACATGTTCGTCTGTAGCTTGCTAAATTTCTGACTCTACCTTCATTGGTAAATAAAATACTATATTTCTACACTCTTAGGGGAGACTTACAACGGAAAAATAAAATGGCGATAACTAGTTTAAAGTCATTTTCTTCATTGCTAGCTTTGCTATCTACTGTATTCAATTACTGCTGATTTTATCTCTTTCTCATAAATCTATAGCAGTATTTTCCTCGTACATTTTATTGCTGTTGCTGGCCTACTAGTTTTGTATCATGAAAACAGTCTTTGATTTGCAATGACAGAGATTTGAATTCTCAGATTAGCATAGTTGGCTGATGTGCCCACATTACTAGTTTGTTACTGGCACTGTATGAAATAACATACAAAAAGTTTTGGCTCCTTGATCATTTGTATGATATTCCTTCTGTTTTAGAAAATATTATGTACACATGATATGTTATCGGTAATTAGATGCTAACCTCTGCTCATTCTTAATGCCCTTTAGTTTGATGCTCTTACACGAATGTGAGTTTATTTTACATATCGGTTTCAGTAATATATTCTTCATATGTTTTGTTATCATTTCAATTTTTTATACTTTTCTGGGTCAAGTTTTGATCATCATTCATTTTGCATCTGCTTCAATTAGTGGAGGGTTAGAGGTTCTTAAGCGGGAGAAATAGCAGCTTGTTCAGATTCCAAGTTGCAGGTACTTGAGATCCATTTCCCCTGTTGTCCTACATTGGTCAGTTACTTATTTCTTAAGAATTATGTATGTTTGAATTATTATTAGTGAATTGATGTTAACCTTTGCTCATGCTTTAATGGTATGTCTTTTGTTTCAATAAGAATTGTGTTGGCAACAGCCTTTTGTAATTTGTTTGTTTCATATATTAATCAACCTTTGTTATATGCTTCCATCTTACCACTGGAGGTATCTTTCACCTCTCTTCCCTTGTTGTGTGGAACCTGTGTTATTTATGAAATTGATGATACTCATTTGCAGATTTTTGGGACAAGCATCCATTTGAAGTTTAAAGAGTCCTTAGAAGTTGTTTATAAAAATTTGATGATCTGGAGGATTTATTCGAGTAATGAGGGAACCTTGCAGCTGTTGATGAACTATCTATTTGTATCTGTGAGGATTTACTTGATTGATGACTATCTACCGGCAGTTGAAGGCTCCAAAAACGTCCCCAAAACAAAAAGATGCACCGAGAAGAGCTGCCCAAGTCAAGTGGCAAAGATTTTCTCATATTTCCAAGAGTCAAGTGTACGTTTCATTTATAGTTAATTAACTCAGTGGCCATTAAGTTTTTTCTTTGCTACAACACAAAAGAAGAAGAAGAAGAAAAAGAAAGAAAGAAAGAGAAAAAAGGAGTAGTTTTACCATTACTATACCAAAAAAATAATGTTTTGACATTACTAGACATTGCAGGAATATATTCAACTCTTTAGTTGTTTGGTTTCAATATCTTAGACTTGCTTGCATCATGGAAGAATAAAATTTATTGCTTTAAATATGACATTGTGTTTTCAATCTTTGTGGAATAACACTTAAGATTGTTGAGGAAAATTAGGTTTGCTAGTATAGAAGACAAACTAATACATATAGAACAGACAAGACACTTCAGCTCTTGCATGATTTCATTCCAATTTTTTGGATCATCGAACAGAAGCTTTTAGTCATTAGTTTCACAGAACTGCTTTGTTTTTGTGGCAATCTATATAATTGCAGGTGTTTACGAGTCCTTGGTGTCGTTGCGGCATCTGTAATTTTATGTTTCAAATTTTAATTTTTCTCTTTTACAGGCAAGGAGATACTGCAATCAATACTCATATGCTGTCTAATCTTTTGTGTACAACGTGTGGTTCATAATGCAGGTTTCTGCTATATAAATGGTATATCATTTGTTGATGGTGAAGTGATTTTTTTACTTACATATCTTAGAGTACCCTAAAACAATCATAATATATACGTGTAGTGTAAAAAAATTACTATTTCTGGAAGATGTTGATCTATTTTCCTTTTTCTTGTTTCTGTAATTAAGGTCATGGACTCTTGCATATCACACGGAACAAAGGCCTCTGTTCTTAGTCTTATTTGATAGCATGTCATTTACCTATGCTACTGCAAGACTCAGGTAAAGGAATCTTCAAATATAAGCTTTTTACCACCATTTGAAAAGTTGAAGGTTATTTTGAACATTTTTTGCTAAGTTGGTCTTGGTGTTATATTGACCATGCAGAGTCAAGATAGAAAGAGAAACTCATGCATGCGAATCGCGATGTGCCTGTGGTCTAGAGCTTATTGTTTTGGACAAAAGTGTAAGCTACTATCCCATTAGTTTGTCTTCTTGATACTCAGAATCAAATCTGAGTTATATTCTTATGAATTTTGCATCATAGGGTCAACTTTTGTTTGTTGTTATGCAGTTTAATGAGGAAAAGTGCTTTAAATCAACTTCTACGGGTGCAGCTCAATTAAGAGAAGCACTCCCTGTAGAGAATACTTTTCCTGGGTAGTCAAGCTCTGCGTCCTGTCTCTTCGAAGAAAGATAGTTGAAGTGCTTTTATGTGTGACCTTTGGATGTACTTGCTACTTGGGGTTCTATTTCTATAGGGAATATTGGGATGAGAGAAGCGAGATAAATTTAGTTTGAGGGTGAGAACCTATTTGTTCTTTTTTGTCATACTCTTTGTATTCTTTTTCTTTTGATTAAGTGAATTATCATGGCATCGTCACCGTGGATGTAGCCCAACTTTGAGTGAACCATGTTAAATATGGTGTTTCATTTTGTGTTTACTTTTCTTCCGTTTGGTTTGTGGTCTCGAACTAGAGAGTTAAATTAAATGTGACAAATTCCTTACTTTGCTTGGCATTGACACATCAAAAGTGTAGTTGTAACTTGCATTGGGTTGTTTTCAGAATCACAAAAATTATTCACGTCAAACTTATTAGCTTATATAATCCTGACATAAAACTGGTTTGAGCATGAAATTGAGGGTGGCAAATATTTTTTTATTAATTCCATTTTTAGATTGAATTTGAATAATTTAATAATTAATTAAATTTTTTTTTTTTTTTTTTTTTTAATTTTAAAATTTTGACGGAAATGATCACATTTGCTAATATATACAAACACAGGAACTGAATTGGCCAAATTGATAACGCGGGGATTAAATTGGCCGATGAGATAAAATATAGGGACCATTTTGACATTTAAGCCAAAAGTTTTAGTTATGTGGGCCCACTGGCGGACCTACACATGAGCAAGTAGGTTCAGCTACACCTCCCCTCATCAAAAAATCCTTTGGGGTGGTCGGAATTTCTCCCTCTGCTGGTGTCCCCCATGTGTTCAACTAAATGTCTGAAAGAGACTTGGAAATATTCAATTTCATTTCTACTTCACATAAACTTGTTGTCTCCCAAAATTCCCTTAATGGTGTATCACTATTTAATAAATATCCATGAACTTTAATCCCCCTTATTTGGCATCTATACTTTCTTAGTTTCTCAACTTATAATTTAATTTTGTTTTATGCAGATTTCACATTTATTTATTCAAAGTTTCTCTCTTCTCTATCAACTAATGTAGATGGATTCATGGACTTGTTGTACTTGGATTTCCCTCACATACTTTTAGCCTTTAAATGTTGCCCATTCCCTGAAATTTTTTTGCCTTTAAATGTTGCCCATTCCCTGAAATTTTTTTGAGTCCGCCAATGTGTGGGTCTATGTTAGTATGACCCGGAATAAGTGTCATATATGTGAAACAATAGTATCACAACTAATTAATAAACCTTGGAAAACGATGGTGTGGATCCTCTGGAAAAATTGCTTTGTTTATGGAATTTGGATGATTAGTTTGTTGGTTACTAATGGCATAACGTATCTCACATGCAAGTTTAATTTGCTGGTTTGTCTCATCACCGGACAACACATCCCTTCTCAGCCTTGCTACGTGGCAGCAAATGGGGGCCGCTGACCCGACTTTCATACCGTAATGGTGCAAATTTAAGGAAGTTACCGTTGCGTTGGCCCGCCTGACGGAGCCCAAAAATTTTAAAAACTAGCCGTTGCAATTGCACTACTTTCGTTGATTTTCTCAATCCCCAAGTCTCTTTCTTCAGCCTCCACATCCCACGAAACGTACAAACCGCTTTTTGATTGGAAAGTTCACAATTTTTCTTTCCTGCCTATTGGAATTGGATAGAATCCTTACTGGGTTTAGTGTGATGGCTTCAAGAACTGCGACCAAAGACATTATCACTTTGCGTGGTTCCGCGGCTATCGTCAGCGAGTTCTTCGGTAATTTTATTGTCTGTTGGATTTGATTGTCATTCGTCTTTGTTGGGCTTTGTTCGGTTTCTAAGAAATCTTTCGCTGATCTCTGTATTTCGTATTTCTATGCAATTCCTCTTTCAGGATATTCAGCGAACAGGTAATGATCACACGGGATCTTGATCTTTGTTCTTGTTCTTTATGTTATCTGTTGGGGTTTTTCCCCTTTCGGCGATTTACTTCTTGGATCTTGAAATTAATTGTGGTTGGATACATGGGTTTTTCTCTTTTAGCATTCTGTACAATAGAGGAGTGTATCCTGAAGAAAGCTTTGTAAAGGTGAAGAAATATGGGCTGCCCATGTTGCTTACTCAAGATGAAGGCCTCAAATCCTTCATCGCCAACCTAACTGCTCAGCTTTCTGGTAAGTAATACCTATTTAGGGTTTTATCGTTTCGGGTCTGTTTGTGTCTAATTCTTAATTTAACAACTCAACTCTAAAAGTATGAAACGATTTATTCATCTGCACCAAATACAATTACATGGGTTGATTGAAATATGTTGTTCTTGGGTGACTGATATTTTATATTCTTCAATCTTGTAAAGAATGGCTGGAATCTGGCAAGTTACAGAGAGTTGTTCTGGTCATACTGAGCAAGGCGACTAATGAGGTTCTAGAGAGGTGGAACTTCAGCATTGAGACTGACAATGAGGTCGTTGAGAAGGGGTAATTCAATTCAACTTTGGATTTTTTTAACTGTGTCCCTCATGTTGCATACAGTTATCAAATTTTCAGTTCTTTTCTAAATCTCTTCCCACTGTTTTGTTTGGTTTGATTGAAGGGAGTCGAGGCAAAAGAGTGACAAGGAAATCATGAGGGAGATTCAAGCAATCATGAGGCAGATTGCTTCAAGCATTACTTACTTGCCGTGCCTTGATGAAGCCTGTAAGAGCACACTCATTCACCCAATTGAAAAAAATTGTTTATTTCTTTGACCTTGGTGTTTGTCATGTTCATGTGTTCTGTCCTATTGTTTGCTTTAGGTGTGTTTGATGTTTTGGCATACACGGATAAAGATCTTGCAGTCCCATTCACTTGGGTTGAAAGTGACCCCAAACTGATTGCAAATCCACAAATTGTGAAATTGCATTCCTTTGACACCAAGGTAAGTTCCAGAAATTGAATCCCATTTATTTAATCCATTTAGAAATCTCTTTACCATAAAAAGGGGAAATGGGTTTGGCTGCTGACTATATTTTTGTTTGCTGATCATGCAGATACACAAGGTTGACACTCTAGTGTCCTACAAGAATGACGAATGGGATGAGCAGTAGCGGGAGGAGAGGAGAGGCGATATCCATGTTTGCTTGACTTTTGGAACTGTGAATCTTTAATTCACATTTGGTTAGAAAAACTAGTTGGAAAGAGAATGATGACTTGTCTTTTCCGTCTTGGTGTTTGCTACCATTGGATGTTGTATAATTTGTATGTGGTGGGAGGAACTTGTGTTTGAGTTGTACTCATTTCATATAAGACAACTATCTGGCAGTTTTCATATATAAAGGATCTTGTAGTTTCCGCATTCTTCAAAATGCACCACATAGATCACTTAATTCGCATGAATAACCATGCTTAAAAACAGAGATATCAGCAACTGTTTGATTATTTATGAGGAAATTAATGGACTTAAAACATTTTAAATGGTTTGATGTTGAGATTGAATCCCTCAAATAAGTTCCTCACTCCAAACTCCTCATTGTAGAAGCTCTTGATATTTGAAGATCGTTTATGCATTCATTCACCATAATGTTCGGCCAAATAAAATGGGTTGGCCTCAATTTGGTCTGGTATTTAAAGATCGTTTCTGCATTCATTCACTTAGAATTGAGTAAAGATAATATAGGTAGTTATGTTCCTTAAAAGTAGAACTTATTATCTTATTTTGTTTTTATTTTTATTTTCTTTAAATATGAAAAAACGTGAATTCACCATATTATCCTCATTTAATTAATAATTTCAATTCTTAATGTTTGAATTAACCAAGGGCATTTTCTGGTATTTTGAATGTTTCACCGTTCTTTACCTTTTACTTTATTATATATAATATATATATAGATAATGTTTGGCCAAATAAAATGGGCTGCCTCAGTTTGGGCTAGGAGAGTAGAACCAAGTTTGGGCTAGGAGAGTAGAACCAAGTTTGGGCTAGCATGAACCCCTAAAGTTGACAAAAGAAAAAATATTTTGGCATGAAAAATCTGACTCAACCATGGCCCCTCACCAGCAGAAGAAAAATAATACAGCGCCAAAATTAGTGGTAGAGAAACGGAAAATTCCATCATTTTGGTCAAATCAGTGCACACAAAAGATACATTGTAATTAATAGAAAATAAAATGTTTAATCTGTCCAAAAATGAAGCATGGCAGAAACAAGAGAATCACGTATGTACACCCAAACGTAATACTAGAAAAGGATATTTTTAATCTGTCCAAAAATGAATTGTAGAAGGCTTGAAACTTCTTTATATTTTGAAAAGTACATATGTACAAACATCAAAGTCCAGGCCAGTATGTGCAATATTAAAATCTGTGCCCTGAGGGCTTTGTCCTTGTCCTTGTTCTACCATAACATAAAGTGCAGCATTAAACATGACTTAACAATACGGATCATCCGCACTTATATTAAGAAGGAAACATGATGAAGATCTGGTTCCCTCAACTCACACCACGGTATATTGCACCAGGTCGAAGATCATCCATATTTTCAATATTTCTGTACCCATCAAACTCCCTCAGACATGACCACCCCCGGCGGGTCAGAAAATCACGATAATCATCTTCAGTGTAGAAAATCTTCTCCTCTGTATGTACTGGTATATGGTCTGACTCATCATAGAGGCACACTTTGATGGCCACCCCTGAAATTAGGACTCTAGCATCAAGTTTTCATTATAAACGGGGGAGCAGAACATCATTAATTTTTATGAAAATTCTATTAAATACTGTGAATAACATTTGCTACTTTTGTACCACTTTTTCATTTAGCTGATGTCAAAGGAACGTTTTAAATCATTATGGCCATTACGAAACCTATACCTTCATCAAGATGAAGGGTGTAATTCCCCAGAGGCATGTCCCTGTCAAGACTGCGGACTATCTGGTCTTCATCCTCCAACCAGAAGGCACGTTTTGTTCTCAACCTAAAAGCAGACTTAATTGCCTCCTTAATGGCATCGGCAGTTCCATCAATACCAATCCTTCTAGTATAATCACCCCAAGTGACTAATATGACTCTACCACATGATTGACCCTCCCCACCTGCCCAAAAGGCGAAAATAATTTAACAAAAGTGAACCATCTTACCACTGACTCATATCTGAGTAAGAAAAATGAAGATTTGAGTGCTACTCATCCGTACAAAAAATTTGGAGCATAAACACTCAAGACACATGTTGAGAAAATTTCACAACTACAATTCAATTTAGTTTTCTTACCATTTCCAGGGGTTTCTCTCCAATTCCAAGGTGGAACTCCACTCGCTGTAACTGCATCAGCTGCAGTTATGGCAAGAGGATGACCATCATGATCCAAACGTCGTTCCAGATTGAGTGTTGGCCTCCCACTAGCTGCACACCAAGGAACTTAAGAGAGGACAGACACCTCTTTGAAAGAAATTGACTTTTAAAAAAATATGACGAAGCAGAATATAGAAGTAACATGCAGAAGAGTTCATATTATCCTATTTTGCCTTACTCCTTGCACTTCAAGAACTTAGCATTTCCGGCCAAAAGGAAAGTAAAAAACAGAATTGGTAATTGAATCATGAATTCTATCTATTATGCTAATATCCAACATTAGCCTTGAGATCAGCTATTTGAGATGCTTGTACCTGAATAAATTGTTCATTCCTCAAAAGATGACAAGTAATAAGTAATCATATTCTAACAGATTCTAACAGTGGTCATGAGTTATCAGGCAAACTAATAATTAGGTGATCAAATGGCATAAACATTAACCAGAATACAAAAATTCAGATTACATTAATAATACCTTCAACAGGTGCAAAAGAAATGCTTGCATCTTCAATACCTGCATGAGCAGAAAATCAGTCAAATGGTTGTTCTAATGTTATCAACACAACATAGATAAAGGATGGGTGGGGCAGAAGGACGTCACTTATGAAACTAGGAGACAAGAAAGCAGCATTTTCAAAATAAAAAGACTGGAGAACAATAATGCACTGCCCAAGTGAAGGAAAAGAAAAGGAGTGACTTGGAACATAAAAGGACATTCAAGTGAATCATGTACGAGAATCCCCATGCAGCATTTGATGCATAGGGAACGGGGACGGAACACTTCCTTCTAACAAGTGGCTGAGAGTTAGCAAGCAACCTTGGCCTCTTGGCAGGAGGTTCGCTGCGCTGTAAAAATAATTGGGCCATGAGAGACCTTATGGCAGGGCTCACCTGCGCTACAGCCCACCCCAAATTAGACACAAAATGGAAGAAACCTCTACGAAATTAAGGGAAGAAGGGCGGGGGGGAGGAAAGCCCTCTAAGAACCAGTCCACCCAGGCCACCCCATCCCTAACCTTCCCACCACAAGGTCAGGGCCTACCCCGAATTGCACTGCTGGTTGTTCCTGATAGGGAACATTAAAATAGCATAACTTAACTGCTAAGTATCCCCATGGTCAGTTGCAAAAGATAAACATGACAGGTTTTCTCCTAACTCCAAGACACATGTAGTTATTTGATTAAATATGCACAACGCACTGCAGAAAACGTAACAGGAAACGGTTTTTATACAGTCTATAATGCGTCAGGAAAGACTGCCAGAGTACCATGAGAGGGGGAAAAACCAACTAAGTCACAAAATAGTGTAACTACACATGAAAACTTCCTCGTGTATAAGATTTGTTTTGTACGAAGCCATATCATCGATATTTTACAAAATACTATGCAACTCTCATGCATATTCAACACTCTATAAAACCTAGCATATGACATCTCCATAATCAACAATTATAAGCAAAAGGACAAATTCAATGCTTTACCACATTAAGCTAGTACCTTATCCATCTTTTATTATATCATGCAATTGCAAACAGAGTACATTTCCAAAACAAGACCACTTGACAATCCAAATATTCTTTCTTGCTTCTTCTCTCATCTTTCCGTTCATTTAAGTTAAGCACTAGATTTAGGGAGACAATTGCTATTAAGTGCATTTCCAGTCTCAACATAAGTCTGCAACTGAGAAGAAATTGACTATTCACTAGGTTCCACTAATCTGTTCATCACCGTCCACTGGTTTATAAGATCATGACCCTAAGCCTACCCCAACTAGTATTCTAGATATCTAAGCAATAGGTCTGCAACATCCTCAAAAGTAATTTACTGTACGGTCCTGTTTTCCTGATAACATCAGATTACTTATTGAGATTTTTGTATCTTCTATTTATCTTTAACCACACTCCAAGATGTTCCTGTAGATTTATCATATCTGTGTCTAAACTAAATGCCATTACTGCAGGAAGCACTCAAATCAGCAGTTTGAAGAGGATGACTTTATTAAGGTAAAAAGGACTAGAAGTTTCCTCAGTCCTCAATGATCAATTGTTACGAACCTTTTATACTCCAAATCCCAAATAATACCCATTTCCAGATACAGAAACATTTATAAATTCAAAATACTTAATGAAACCCTCTAAATTTAGCTTCTAATACATTATTATGGTACCAATCTCTTTTTCAGGGAAACAGGTAAGACAACAAAAATGGAAAACTAAAGAAGACCAACATATACATAAAAGGTAGGCAATCATATTTTAGTCAGAAACCAAAAATCCAGAAAAAGCAAATACCTTTGTCCGAGAATTGCATAAAAGAATCAACCTTTGGAGGTGTGGGACTTTTGTACTGCGCGTTCTTGTTTCGCTCCTTCAAAATCTCCTCAATCTCCTTGTAATATGACATCTTAGCTGACCCACTTCCCCTGTCATGGTGCTTAGCCTTTTTGAACTCTTTAAGCAAGTTTCTCCACTTGTCTGTGCACATAGTAGGAGACCGATCGAACCCTTTCTCTCTCATCTTAGCCGAAATCTGCTCCCACAAGTGCTTGTTAGACTTGGAAGTGTTAAACAAACCGTCCATTTCACGGCGCAGAGCTATCAAACTCCGAGTCTCGTCTTGGACCCAAGTCTCGGCTCGCTTCTTCGGGGCCTTAACTTCATGGTCCTCGCCGCTGCTGTCCCCCAAAAGCATCTGCTGCTGCTGCTGCTGCTGTGGTTGATGGTTGGGGTGATGAGTTTGAGATTGAGAGAGGTCGTCATTGGAAACCACCTCAATCATCATGTCTCGGCTGCCTTCCTCTTTGTAAAAATCGATTGCTCGAGGCTTTTCCGACAAGTACATGGTGGTTGGTGACTGGGTGTTGAAATTGAGAAACTGGATTTACTCAAAATTGGGTCTTTAAATCCGTTGGGCGCGCGCTAGAGAGAGAGAGAGACTGTGAGACAGAGTTTGATTAGAACGGGATGAGGTTCAAGAAGAAAGTGAGGGTCTCCATGAGCAGCAGCAGCAAGCCCATTATTAGAAGGTCACTTGTGCTTTCTTCAGTGAGAAAGAGATGGAGATTTGGGCCTTGCTTAGGATTATTGCCTCCCTTTTTGCAGACTGAAGTTTGGGTTTTTAGCTCAGACAGAGAGCTAGAGAGAGAGAGCGTGAAGTAAAAGCTTTGCTTGTTATTAGCGAAGAAAGGAGAATGAACTCAGCTGGAACTCTCTCGCTCTCTTCTCTCTCTTCCACTGTGGTTAATGGGGTTTTATAGTCAGTTACTTCTACTCAAAGTTCCACACTCTAAACGCTGCGTTTGGTAGCCGTTTTATACTTTTATAGTATCCTGTAAGACGACGACGTTTTGAAGTAGCTATAAAACACGTTGCATCTTGTAAAATGAAATGTTATCATTTGCTACCCGCCTTGTATCTCTCTCTCTCTCTCTCTCTCTCATTGTGGAGTAGCAAAACCCTAGTAATGGTTGCCAGAAATTTGTGATAGATGAAGCTCCTTCAAATTTCTTCCTCTCATTCCATTGCTTCTCTTAAATGTCTCCATGGAAGGGTGCCCTCTCATAATATCAAACCAGCTTCTGCTTCCTTCGCAACTCACAAAGTCGGAGTCTTTAATTCAAGCCGTCTCTCAGGTATAAAATCAAACACCTTTGGTCTAAATTTTCCCCCCATTTTTGAACCAAGGCATGCCAATGATGTGGGTTTTTGTCACTCAAATTGAATTGGGTAAACTTAATATTGAGGCCTAAAGTTGTACGTTTGGGTTTTCTTTGTTTCCTCATTGAGCTGAGCCATCTGCATTTTTTTGTGTTCGATGGTTTTGCCACCCACATAGGGTTGGCATAATGCAGTGAGTAGGAAAAGCGTCGAATTTTAAGTTCCTTCTTTGATAGAAGGATCAATACTTGTCCTGAAGGAGGAAGAATAGAATATGCTTCCCTTTGAGTTTTTTATTAAGGACAAGATCACTGCCTGTTTGTGTAATGTTATATGTGTCCAACAGCTATTTTGCATTGTTTGTTAATTTTGTAAACAAATATCTCAATATTTTGCATATAAAAATTTAAGGAAGTTTCTTCAACTTGACTTTCAAGCAGTGTGTGGCTTTTGCAGGACCTCTCGTCCAAAAAAAGTGGCCATGGGCGCCATTGTCATATCAGCAACGAGCAATATCTGCTGCACCAGATTCTGTAGCTTTCACCAGAAAGCTGTAGAATTTCTATCTTCAAGGAAAATAGGTGCAAATGTGATTGTGAGACCTTTTTCCACATGCACCTCACCGGTGATCTCTCCAATTTTCCCTCTTGTCATGCGTCCCCCATCGTCCTTAGTGATGGCCACCCAGATTTCACCATCTGATGCTCCCCAACGATCAGAGGAGTGGTTTGCTCTACGAAGGGACAAGCTCACGACAAGCACCTTCAGCACTGCCTTGGGATTTTGGAAAGGGAACCGTCGGCCAGAGCTTTGGCATGAGAAGGTATTTGAATCAGAGAAACAAATTGTGGAAGCTTCTAAAAGAGCCATGGAATGGGGCGTACTCAATGAAGAAGTGGCCATCGGCAAGTACAAAAGCATCACAGGTCGTGAAGTGAATTCGTACGGATTTGCAACCCACACAGAAGAGCGACTTGGTTGGGTTGGTGCCTCCCCTGATGGTCTTCTTGATGGTCTTATCGATTGCTTTCAAGGCGGTGGGATACTGGAAGTGAAGTGTCCATATAACAAGGGCAAACCTGAGAAGGGTCTGCCCTGGTCAACTATGCCGTTCTATTACATGCCTCAGGTGCAGGGTCAAATGGAGATAATGGACAGAGAGTGGGTTGATCTGTATTGCTGGACACCAAACGGAAGCACTATATTCCGTGTGTGCAGGGACCGTAGTTACTGGAACTTGATGCATGGAATTTTAAGGGAATTTTGGTGGGAAAATGTGATTCCTGCAAGGGAAGCTCTGTTGTTGGGGAAGGAAGAAGAGGCCAAGCAATATATCCCAACTTCTACACACAAGCAAACAGGGCTTGCAATTGTTAAGAGCTTGAAGTTAGCCAGTGAGGCTAAGTTGTTGTGTAGAGAAATTGCAGGTCACGTTGAATTTTTCTAGTGATGGTGAGCCTCAAAGTAAAAGGATGAGTAAAGCTTACCCTTATCTTGTTGCCCCTCCCCTTGAGGCTTAGATTGTAATCCATTGGTTCCCAATGTATTTGTCAATTGAATTAGATCTCATGGTGTATTTATACAGTTCGAATGTTTGGATGCATAATATATACTTTTGATCTGAATGGCTATAACTTACAGGGCTTGGCATGGCGTGCATATAGATTTTAGCCTTGACTTGACTGCTCGTTGCCTCCTGTGAGACTTGGTCAACAAGAGGTTACTTACCAAAATAACCAACTTTAAACCAAATTTATCCCATCCAAAAAGAAAAAAGACCGAATCTCTTACTCTAGTCAAATAAAGGACAACCAAATTAAGAATCGAAGTTGGTTCCAGAAACATCGAGCTACATAATAAGTAAAAGACCGTTAGAGAAATTTCTAAACTTGTTCATCAGAAATAACTAACTTCGGCCAAACCTGTCCTTCCACTGAAATTTTAAGGAAAAGCAGATTTGGACCTTAAAATAAGCAAATAACCCTTTTGCCAAAGCTTTGCATCTAAAAGAAGTTCCAAACCAAGAAACGCAGAAGAGAAGAGAAGAAAAGAAAGAGGACATGGATTCTGGTATGTCCTGGGCTGATCAATGGGATAACAACCCCGACCCACCACCACCGGGATCATCAGAGAATGACAAGAAGAAGGGCAAGGATGGATCAAAGAGCAGTTTCGGGAAGGCAATTTTAAGCTTCAAGTGGGTGGAAAAGCTCCGGAAGAAATCTGCGAAAGAATCAGATTCATAGAACACTACATGTATCGAACAATGTAGCCTCTTCCATCTCCTTGCAGCAATAATATGCCACTAATAACCAGTTTAATCCCATTTGTCTTCATTTACTGTTGCACTTTTATAGCTGCATTTGTCACCTCAACATTGATTTAATAATAAAATTTACAGTTTCCTCATTTATTCCTTCACATGGTACATAATTATTCAAGAAGCCAGATGAGAGAGGGCAAGATTTGGTTAACGATTCGTCAAAAGACGTGTACGCATAATGAAGATTTGCAGGAACCAAAATGCCACTGGCAAGAGAATCTGATAGCAGAGTTAGCACACGAAAGAAATGCGAGCATATAATCATTGTCTTTGATGTGCTGGGACTTGGACCATGCATGCCATGAATGTCTCTCATTCTCAGCACAGCAGATTTCTGAAGTGCTAAAGAGAGGGGCATTGAAAACGTGACTTATGGTTTTTGATGATGACTTGATAACTTTAAAACCACTTTTTTTCCGAAGTTTGCATTCTCGTTTCTAAAAAGAGCCTTTGAAGGAGGAAGATGGAGTTTTTGTTTTTGTTTTTTTTTCTAAGAACCTTTCAATAAAAATGACCGCCCATCAGGTCAGGACTCAGGACAGAAACATGCACCATCCACTTCAAAGTTGAACAGTCACAAAACGTACTTATCTGCCATGCTTTGCAGAATAAAGTCGAGGAATGAAGTCAAAATCATTCCTTAAATAACTCTATTGGGACGTATCTGTCAATCCCACAATACAAATACTAGATCAACAAGGCAAGGAGCTTGTGGTCTGATTGAATGATAAAGTCTTAAATATGCGACTGCACGTGTACTCAAAAAGTTTATGCAATGGCTTTGTCCACTTGAAATTAAAAGCATAAATTGATTATCAAGTACATTTTACAACATTCAGATGCATCCAAAGAAGCATACATAACTTCTGCTTAATGCACACGGTTTTAACTGCCAGAAACCATAACTGAAACCCACAAAACCCTCCTCGAAAGAAATAACATGGTACAATTCCCATTTGAAAATAATACAATTCCCATTTGAAATGAACAAAGTGTTTTCCGTTGAAGGAAACATTCATAGCTACATCCATGGCGCTAAGCAAGAACGAAGCCAGGAAATGACATTAAAAATAACACTGGAAAAATATCAGTGTATATAAGCCAGGTAGAAGAGGAGCGGTCCCCTGCATGGGGCTTTAACCCAAATAGTGAGTCACAGATGACACTGCCTCTAGAACAGCAATCTTCATAAACCGCTGCACAGCTGGAACACTGATCGATAGACATAATTCATCGCATGACTGGAACAATCAACACAACCCTGCTTCAAGGCAGCATATGGGTGCTTGCACGGGCCAGCAAAGAGTTTATGGAGCACGATGGCAAATGCATAGTACAACAAATAAGTCACCTTTCCACTTTGCTCTTTACAATTAGTTACTCCTACTGTTGAATGTGCTGGTAGGCTACCTCACATCTGAGTCAAATGCAAACAAACTTCACAGCCTAATATTCACAGGCGAATCACCCAACAAACTCATAAAACTTTTATTTGTGCCAGAGCCAACAAAAAGAATCACCATTAACAAAACTTCATGCCCCAGTCGATGGATGCAGAACTTTGCTTATAATGATCCTTCATCCCTCAAATTTCCATCTCCTTTGTTTTTATTTTTACAATATTTTTTTTTCTATTCATCATGAAGCAATAGCAGTGGGCTCAGAGCTTCAGATGAGATTCAAACAACCAAAGTTGAAGTCAACCAATAGGGCTAGACCCAACAAAGTCACTTGACCAAGCGATACGAGGTACAGGAACCATAATCTTAAAGTTTGTCATGATTTTTCTTGGTCAGATGCCCTAGTTACCACTTGCAATTTTCTCATCCATAACATGAAACCAGCAAATCTACAAAACCAACAGTATCTAGCCATGTTGACCAAAGCCATAATTCTGTTCATGGAGAATGACAGACTTGGATGGACCATACTTTCTATCCTGCCTCTCTTGAGACTTATGCCTCTTCCCACAATCTGAGCAAAGCTTTTCCAGACAAAATGTTTCCTCATACTCATCATCAGTAATGCACCGACCACACTGAACACACCTCCCTATGCAAAGTGTGCAAGCCCTGCATACCTGAGTTGGATGTCTTTTCCCAGGACAAACCTCAGCAGGGCAATCATAAACCAGCCTCAGGTTCTGACATCTAGGGCACATTTCAATATCAATGTCGCTATCATCATCATTGGGCAGATAAAAGTTCCCTCTGTGATAAAAATGCGGCTTTCGGGGATTCTGCCTCATTTGGCTATCAGTGCCCAACAAAAATTTCAGCTCTTCAAAATGCTGCTGTGTCACACCATAGAGTCCACCAATTCGTAAATGCTTCAGATCTTGTGCACCCTTAGACTTGAAAGCCTTTAAGTTATTCACAATGCCCTCAATACTGAGTTTGGTACACCCAGGCACACTCAACTGCATAAATGAAGGAAATGTTTAGGAAGGTCATTGAATGAACAAAACCATTATGTAGAACTAGAAGAAAGTACTCCATTCTCATAAAGAATGATAGAGTGAATTGAGCAGCAACAATGAGGTTCTGGATTTAGGCATAAGAAAACTTGAGCTACCAAAAAAATTCAGTGCCCGAATGGCTAATGGGGTTTCAAACCATAAGGAGCAAGATACAGAAAAAGAATGGGAGAGAAAATAGAGAATAAAAACACAACCCAAAACTGTCGTCAGAGCATTAGGATAGTATGCTACTTCTTGGTTTGTTCCATTTAATAACTGCTAAGCCAAACGCAAATTAGCACCAAGATCTTAGTTTGGTGTATCTTCCATGCATGTCTTGTAACAACTCCATTTAATCTAGTCATAAACAGATGACTCAAAACATTAACAAATGAGATTTGACCTTCAAATTTGGTCATGAACAGATGACTCAAAACATTAAAAAATGAGATTTAAACTTCAAATCCAGAATAGGGATGGGGAAAAAGTAAACCTCAGCTAGGGATTTATTCAATTTAGTTTATTTCAAGCTTACTATCATATTGGGGTTAAGATATGACACTGTCAACAAGAAATGAGTGGATCTCTATTCCTAACTGTACATTCATGTAGATGTAGAATGCAGGCACATTTGCTTGAAAATATAACTAACCATTGGTTAAAAAGTGTATCACATCCATTGGTAAAAGACAAACTTGCAGGCAAAAGATACCACGACCTATCATCTGGACAACTTGTGAGAGCAATTACTCTAAATTAAGTATTACGCATAGCAAAAACTACAATTCCAACTTCATCAACGCAAAGAACAGAGGATAACCAACTCTAGGGGGTCTAAGCTGCATTTTATAGATAAAATAAAATATAAAATATCTCAGCAACAAACTGTATACAGAAAGTCACTTTGAGCACAAAGACCATGAAGTTTAAGGTAGAACATTAATAACAAAAAATGATTTCTTTTAGAGAAATGTGGTCTGGAAAAATATACTTCCTATAAAGAGACAATAATTAATCAAAACACTGACAACAGTTAAGGTAAAACGGACCAAACATTTAGGAGTCAGTCCATAAGCCAACAATGATAAAAGTCATACTAACCTTGGTTAGCCTAGGATTACTTTCAAGCACACGCTTCAGACCATCATCAGTGATCTTAGAGCACTCCACCAGGCTCAAGCACTGCAGACTTCCTTGAGCCCTGTTGGTTAACTGAAAAAGAATATCATCGGTAATCTTCTCATTCAATGGTTGATCTATGTGAATACTTCTCCACAAAAGGGGGTCACCGTGAACAGTAGAACGGAGAGACCTGCAAACTTTTCCTACAACAAAGAGATCCCGTACACCCAGATAACCAAGGGCAAACATCAAAGCACAAGGAGGAGTTCCTCCATCTCCATCTTCATCAGTTAAAATCCCATTTCCATCCTGAAACTCTACATTTTTCTGATTGGAAAACCCACAACTTTCGTTGCCAAAATGCAAAATGTCAGCCACAGCACAAGCTGATCCGAAACCACCATGGCAGGAGGCATCGCCAACTCCCTTCTCTTTTGAACACCCAGCAAATCCATTTGCTACATTAGACTTGTGATCAACCCCAATATTCCCAGGGAAAGCGTGGAACCTCATAGCATTATTCCAAAAAAAATTCAATCCTGCAAAAAGTTCATAATTACCATTACTTGTCCCCACATGGTGCCTTCCGTAACCACCATAGTCCACTTCCAAATCCTCAAGCCAGCCTGATATCGCCGTAAACGTGGTACTCATATCCATGCCAAAAGGGTCCGAAGGCAAAAGATCAAGAATGTCATTTGAAACTGGGTCCTGTAAGCCGCCCCTATCACATCTATCAAAGAAATCTTCCACTTGCCTGTTCGAATGCCATGGCCTACCGAAACCATCTCCATTCCTTTCTGGCATACCCTCCACGAGGCACCCATTGGCAATCCTCATTGGTGAAACCAAATTGTCCTCAGACAGATGTCCGGGAAAGATTGGTCGATAGGAAAAATTCAAGGCCATTGAATATACACCACAACCCAATTTCTCTACTATACACAAACCCTAGATATCCTAAACACTTTTTCTCTCTCTCTCTTTTTTTTTTTGGATGGTTTTCTCTGGAAAGAAACAAGGGGAAGATCTAACAAGCAAACCCTCAATTTCTGATGGCAAACTAAAACGACGCCCAAAAATTTCACGGAGTTTCTTGAGAAGAACCTAAAAGCAGCTAGAAGGAAACGAAAATGAAAACAAAGGTACCGAAATTTATCTACAGGATAAGAATCAAAGAATTCTCTTTTTTTATTTTTTTACTCAACTAACCTAGGGTTTATACGAAACAAGGAAAACAAATATTGAATATAGAACAGATCAAAGTAGCAATATTTTAACAGAATGAAAGCAGAAATTGATAATACGAGGGATAATCAAATGAATCAAAACGAATCGAAACAATTACCACAACCCTAATTTGCACATACGAACGCAATCGACAAAGCCAAGCCTCTTACGGAACCCTCACAGAAGAAGAAGAAAAAGATAAAAACTTTTTGTTCGATTCGACGGGAACTCTAGTGTTTAAGAGATTTTGGTCTTTTCCTGAGGTGGGATTCGATCCGAATAGAGGACGAGCGCTTGTCGATCGAGTTCAGGGAGGGAAACACAGAGGGAAAGGGAGAGAGATAGAGAGAGGACGAGAGGGAGACGAGGACGAGAAACGCCGAGAAAATTGAATAAAACTAAAGAAATAGTAAAAGCCCGAGAAAAATATTGAAAAAAGAGAGATAAAGTGAAGGGTAACGGTGAATTGTCCAATTTAGGACAGAGGGACGTGGGGAGAAGGACACGTGTCGGTTATGGCGGGAGAATAAATTCTTGCTGTTTCGCTGTGATTCTGAAGAGCACAAGCCACAAGAGCCTCCCTCGCCCATTTTAAGTCTCTCCCCCCTAAATTAATCACTCATTTTTTATTTTTTTTTATTTTTTTAATACAAGCGATATTTTGATATTCTAACACAGGACTGTGGTTAGGGGCAGAACTAAATTGATACATATGGGAGGGCCAATTAGCATAATTTTTCAACCATTTGTGCATTGTTACATATTATATATTTTCTTCCGGCAAACGACATTAGCGGGATAGAAAATCGAAGCTAGAAAACTTTGCCTCTTCGAGTCAAAAAATAATGTTCTTAGTCACATGAGCTAAAAACTATTGTTTCTTAATCTATTTTTTTGTTTTGTAGGATTTAGATTTGAACTTGGACTTGTATTTGTGGCCGTCTGATCTCGATCGTGTGGAGGGTAAATGGGTCATTGTGGGTTTACGGTTTGGTGGGTGAGTGTGAGTTGGAGAGGGAAGGTGGAGGAGGTTGTGTATGTTTGGGAATGCGTTGGTAGAGTTGTGTTTGGATCTTTGTGTCCAAGCGGTCAGGGTTTGGTGACGTGTGACCCGGACCCACTTTTACGCGTGGTGGATTTGATTGGGCCTCGTTGGCTATAGGATAATCCGAATCCGACTTCTTTCACAAGTTTTTTTCTTCTTCCTTTTTTCCCCTTGGTCATATAACCCCTTTCGCAAGTCCTTTTCGCTTCTGGGTCATAAATAACCCCTTCCACAAGGTTTTTTGCTTCTTTTTTTTTCATAACCCCTTTCAGAAGTTTTTTTTCTTCTTTTGAGCAAATCCCTTCCAGAAGTTAGGAGGTTATTTTATTTCATTTTTTTAAACCATTTTCTCTGTTAATTAATTTGTTTGTTTCTTTATTTATTCCTGCGGTAATTTTTTAATGAATTCGGATCCGTTGCTCTCATAGGTGGCGTTTGAAAATAAACTACACGCTAAACAACTTAGTTGTATATGGTCTAACCAGATATAACTAACTACGTTGGGTTTTGTATAAATTAAAAAAATTTGAGAAGGGGTTTTGTATAAATAAAAAAAATTTGAGAAAGAGTTTTGTATAATTAAAATGAGAATCTTTATGTGAAATGTGGTATACAATGTGATACGTGTATTATTTACTCAGATCAACGTGTTCTAGGAGGAGGTTTTGAGCCCAGATCAAAGGGACTGTACAGATATTATTTTTTTGGTTGATTGGTCATTATGATTGATCTTCAGTTAAAAGAGCAAAAATTAAAGCATATAAATAAAATATAGAATATTTTATTCTCAAGCAAACAGAACACAGTGCATGAAGCCCAAGTGCCAAGAATTCTTCATAACTTGGTGGAGTTCTCAAAGAAGATGCTCCTCTTCTCCACGCATCTCTCAAGGAAATCCATAGATACAAGGCATCTCACATTTTATGCCAATAAACAAGTCCATTCTCCGTTGAAGCACCAAAAATGCTTCTGTCATTTCAGGTACATTCACACGGCATATAACGCATGAGAGAGAGAGAGAGAGAGAGAGAGAGAGAGAGAGAGAGCGAGTTGGAATAAACAAGAGAAATTATCAATAGAACAGCTGAATTTCAGAGTCAAAGTCTGAAACAATTTCACTACCAAACTATTTCGTTTTTTATTGTCTTGAATCAGAAGTAAGCAGCAAAAAGGCCGAACATTAACTACCAAACCTCAGTTTAGTCACTAGGGAACCAAAATTAAATCATCTAAAATTCTGCAACATTCAGAAAGAGAAACCAACCAAAAAATTGGATCCTTTTAAGCTAGTTCCTAGACTTTTTTCTCGACTTAGATGAAGAGGGCTTGGACGGCTCTGCAACTGCATTCTGAGAGGCTCCTTTGGTGGTAGTTGCTTGGTTTGATTTTGAATTTGAAGTGTTGGATGTGGCACCAGCTTCATGTTTATCTCTAGCTACGGAACCCTGAGAGCCTCTTACCTGAGCCGCTCTCTTATCCTTTCTCTTAGGCCTGTAGCTTGACCTTTCTCTCTTGGGGAGCCACCTTTCTGGATCTGGTGGTGGCCCTGGGTTTGCAGGGTCAAACCCTTTAGGATACTTTGGCTTTCTCTTTCTCTTTTTCTTTGACTTGGCCTTACTCTTCCCCTCTTCATATGTCTCAGTGATCCTAACATCAGAAATTCCCTCATCATGTTTAGCCCCAGATGTCTTCTCCAAACTGTTCACATCGACAGCCTTCAAACCTGGTAAAGGTTTCAGCTTCTTTTCATAAGCTTCTGCTTTCTTAACATCCACACGAGCAACTGTAGTTACAAGCCCAACCAATGCTTCCACACTTCCATGGCGTTTCACAAGCTCCTCATATAGACGGGCAGCATCCTCTTCTCGACCATGCCTGAGCTTGAAGGAAGCAGCCTCTTGCATTAAAACACTAAGTTTGTTGTCCTCAGTCATGGCATTTGACCACCAGTTGATTGCAGCATCAAGCACGGCAGCTGCACCATCAATGTCGCCGGCACGCTCTTTAAGAGACACAAGAGTAGCAACAGTCGCAGGCATGTGCTGGATATCAGGTATCTTAGCAAGGGACTCAGCTGCAATATGAGGATGGCCAGCCGCAGCTGCAACCTGTGCCCTCGCCAGGAGAACAACCTTGGACTTGTCAGGAAACTTCTCTGAAAACTGCCCTAAAATGTCTTCAGCTTTCCCAGCCTTGTTTTCTCTTACAAAAACTCCAGCCTGAAGTAATGCAGGCGTCACACTGTCAGGAAACATGTCTGGCAGTGCAGCAACAAGTTCTCGAGCCTGGAAATTTTCAGCAATAAATAGATGTCAGCAAGGGGAGATGGGGCACCCACAACGGCTTACTTTTGTTATATATTCACTGTATAGTACTTGAAAAACATAAAGAGCTAACAGAAAGACCTGATCCATTTTATTTGCATGGAGAAGTAAAAGGACCCGATTCACATATATTGATTCTCTTTGTTTTGAAAAAAGCTTCAAGTCTACTCCAGGAGCAAGATGGAAGTTTTGTTTGTCTTTTTCTCTTAGTCGATCAAATTTCCTTAGGCCATCAGAAACATCTCTTGGACCTCTCAAAGCAATGAGGTTGTTGACTGCCACAGCGAGTGATAACTCATCTGCCAGATCTTGTTTAATAACGTCCGTGTAAGCTTCAATGGCCTCTTGTTTGTGCCCAAGAAGCTGTTGGAAGAAGCTAATTTGCATTAATGGCTATTGAATTTTCAACTTTGCAACAAGTACAGAAATGAGTACAAAATTACCTGCTGAACATAAGCCAACTGGACAGCTATCGGCGCCAATTCATTTTCTATTTCGTCTTCAGGGAAGTTATCGGAGACCATTGTTTCCTGGCCAATTCTGAGAAACCAAGTGCATTACTTCCACCAGTTCATTCTCACTTTAACACAAGAGTTTTTTTAGCAGAATAGGTGAGATGGCATAAATAGAGATAAAGGGTGCTTAGTAATAAACTGATTTGTGGTTTTAAGGACACCGTTAAAGGGTGATGTCAAACTAACATACAAAAACAATTGATGAGGAAGGGCATAATCAACATTTGAACATAAATTATGTATTTATAAAGGGCTTAGTGGAGAAAAAACAAGATCCACACAGCAAACCTTAAGCAGTTGTGATGCTAGGTTGAGTTGAGAGGATAAGTTTGTATGCCTTAATGCTGTCTAGTAAATCCATTGGGCTAAATTTTTCATTAAGAGATAGTCTTTATAAAATAAAAATAATAATAAAAGTCAAATAAATGAAAAAAAAATTATGCCCACCCAAAAGTTTAAAATGTTGCAATAAAAATTAAAGAGTGAGAAATAATAGTAATAAACATAATACAAAGCCGTTACTTCCTGAAAATATCTCCTCAGTAAGTAGAATATGACTTGATTTGTATCATCAATTTCAATAAACAAAAATGGCATATTACCTTCTGGCTACAAGCAGGAGCTGTTCAGCATCTGTGTACTTATTCAGTTCAATGAGAGAACAGGCAGTGTTGTATGCCAGCTCAAAGCTGTTATTTGCTTTAACCCCAAGTTTGTCCATCATGCGTTTCACTTCAGAAGCCCTCCCAGCTGCAACCAAACCAGCTACAGAATTTACCTCTACAGACTCAATCTTGGGCTTCGGAAGGTTCTGATATATATCAATGCAAGCATCCATCTTGTTTAAGCGAAATAATATCTGGGATTCTAATAGCATGGTTGCAGAACTTCTCTCTTGGCTTTTCAAGGACTGAAGAGCTTCATCTAACTTGTTTTGTCTGTATAAGCAGTACGCCTATTTAGGAATAGAAAAAGTAGAAAAGAACATTAATGAGAGACATCATGTATTTATTTACAGTATTATACACAAGTAACATGCAACCAGCACCATTGGATAAATTCGATAATGGAAATCCCTCAGATAAGTGGGATGCATCATGTAACATTGTTTTTATCAGAATAACTATTTATTGAGTAAGAGAGCTGCCATTTAATAATGTGCAAACAGAAGAAGAAGAAGAAAAATAGACAAACATGCTAATTGGTTTTCAACTTTGAATAAATTCCTTTTAGTAAAAACAATTGCAAATCATGCATCACAAGAAAGCACAAATCTAAGAACAGAAACACTCTTACTTAATTGCTGGGAAATATTCAATCTCCCAACTGTAAAGCAATAAATAAAAAACACAGAACCTGCAACCGTCAGAAGAGGACTTCTACGTTTATTCAACTCAACTGAACAAAGCACCAACCCACATCTTGTAAGCACACATAACCTGCCGTTATTTTACTTTACTTCCTAAATATTTCGGCACATGAGAATGTCTTTAGAAAGTTAGAATTGTGATAATTTTGTTGAGCATGCATAACCTGCCGTTATTTTACTTTATTTCCTAAACATTTTGGCACACGAGAATGTCTTTAGAAAGTTAGAATTGTGATAATTTTGTTGAGCATACATAACCTGCCGTTATTTTACTTTATTTCCTAAACATTTCGGACCAAGGTACAAGTAGTCATCATGCAAACAAAACAGAATTGCAGCTCAACAAAATAATCACAATTCTAACTTTCTAAAGACATTCTCGTGTGAAATCTGAACCAGACCTCGATTAATATTCTCATGCACATTCACACAACTGCACCCCTGAAAATTTATAACTTACGAGAGTTTTTATCATATCATTACGATAATTGTCCGAATAATACAATGCAGCGAAAGTGTCTCAATAATAAACCAACATTTACACACACAAATATGCATAAAGATATACAGCTAACTGCTACGGAGTGGTTGAGGTTACTGAACCTCGAAGAATCTGAAATCCGCAGGAGGACTCTTAGAAGATCGAATTGTGGAAAGGGCGCCATCAACGTCATCGGCCTTGACCAAGGCCACGACCTTGCACCGAAGCGCGTCCTCATCGCCACGAGAAATTGAGAGAACTGCGATTCATTTCGAAAATCAAAATTAAGTAATTTAATGAACAATGAAATTTCAAAATTCGGGGGAAAATACGAAATTAAATTAACCTTGATCTGCAACTCTGACGGCTTCTTCGAATTCGGATCGCTCGATGTGCCTATTAAGAGAAGCGAAAAGATCTTCGAGTGAAGGCGGAGGCGGCTGCGGCGCGGGGGCCTTCTGCTTGTCTCTGGCTCTCGGAGGCATGGATTTTCTCGCTGGCCAAACAGAAGAGGGAAAGGTGTGCGGATGTGAAGAGAGGTTTCGGCTGAGTTTTGGTTTCGACTACACTCGACTGCTCTTTGCAGGTGAGGTTCCCAGCGGGTCGGGTATGGCCCAATTAAACTAACCCTTTCCAGATGAGGAAGGGAGAGTTAGCCTTTAGGCCCAATTTGAGGCCACTGTCTGCGAACAACACGGGCCGTGTAAGAGTTCATTTTTTAATGGAAAAACTACATGAACTTCGACCAAAATAGAAACCGATCTTTTACGGAATTACACTGATGTTGTCTTCCACTTATAATGATTTAATATGAAATTTTGACGAAATTATAAATTGTTATATAACTAAAGTAAATTTGTAGAGAGAAATAAGGAGTACCGGAAGACAATAGAAATTCTATATATACTAAAACTCAATCCAACTAATCACTGTAGTTAAGCACAGTAAATTTACGAAAATGTCTTTATTTTTAACTGTTAAACCAGCTCCTTCTCTTCCCTTGCACAGTAAAATCACGGTTTTGCTATTGGCTAATTGTTTTGTGTTTTCCCCGTTTTGCCCCCTCATTCCTTCGGATCTAACTATGCAGCTGTTTCTTCTTGAGAGGCATCTGGTTCAATTTCAACTGGCTGGTTCGACAGCTTCAGGGGTAAAGATGGAAGAGCTGGGTTGGTTCTTCGATGTCTACATCTGGAGGCTTCGACTTTTTTACAGAGCCATTTGCCCATACCATCAGTTTTGGTTTCCATTGTTCACCGACTTCCTTGACTTCTTCTTTTTTCGATTCGAAGATCAATCTCCATCTAAACTCATCTCCGTCTACTACTCGCCTAGTCTTAGCCTGTAATCTTTGATCTGTGTTTTCTTAATCCCCTGCTTATGTGGTTAGTTCTTTTATCTTAACTCTATTGAATTTGATTTTCATTCATTGTCTTTTTCCTTTTTTTATTATTGGGGTTTTTGTCAATCTATGAGTTAATAATCATGTTATTTGGGTTTATCAATTATGTTGTTTGATAAAAAAAAAAATATTTAAAAAAAAGAGCTTTCTAACCCTAAACCCTCTAATATCTGAGTATGTTGTTGAATCTTTTGGGTGTTTTGTCAAGGTTAATTTTAGGGTAGAGCAATAGATTGAAACATCTTAGCATGTTGTTGAATGTTTTGAGTTATTGAGCTTTGTTGACTGTTGTTAGAATATAGATTCGAACTCCTATGTTTTTGTGAATACATGCAGATATAAAATAAGTCTAATGACGTTGATGACTGATGGTGAGAGAAAAACATAGGAGAATAGTATCTATATAGAGTTCTTTTTTTCATTGAAATTATGATTTGGATATGTGGTAGGATTGATTTTTGATTCAATTGATGAACTGAGTATGTGTTATATTAAAAATTTCACTATGGTTATGAACCAGACATCTTCAAGCTTTAGTAATTTTTTTTAAAGAAAATTTATGAACTTTGCATGTTATTTTTTTTGTTAACCAAACTTTTGTAATGTGCATTGTCTTTAATTTTTATATATTATCATGGCTGAATGTTGAGAATAGTATATGTATAGAGTTCTTTTTTTCATTGAAATTATGATTTGGATATGTGGTAGGATTGATTTTTTATTGAATTGATGAACTGAGTATGTGTTATATTAAAAATTTCACTGTGGTTATGAACCAGACATCTTCAAGCTTTAGTAATTTTTTTTAAAGAAAATTTATGAATTTCGCATGTTATTTTTTTTTGTTAACCAAACTTCTATAATGTGCATTGTCTTTAATTCTTATATACTATCATGGCTAAATGTTAAATGATTTACTCTGTTTCATACATTGGGATTGCCCGTTTTATTATATAGTTGTGACATGTCAAATGTAAGTTTATCAGTTTCTAATTTCTAAAGGCATAAGTTATGCTGCATGGTAAATTTGTAGTTCAACTGTTTCATTTCTGTTTTTGAGTTTTTCGAAGTCATTGTTTAGACTGTTGTTTATGGAAAGTTTGATGATTTGCAGCATTTGTGATTACAGACAATTAAAGCACCATGATTATCATTTATAGTTTTGTCTTTCGTTTTTCCTTTTGTATTTTGTAAAAATTGATTTTAGTTAGAAATCTTGATTTCCATTTTAAAAGGGTTGTTCTAGAAAATACAAAATCGAAAACCCATTTGAGTCTTTCCGGATGCCGCCATTCTTGGTGAGCCCAAATGGTATACTCTTGAACTTATTGGAATGGTTGTGGTCAGGGCATGCATTCTTCTATTGGATCGGGTCACTGTGGACTTGATTTTGTAGAAGGCAAAATGTGTACTGTTGACTATTAAATAATGAGTCTAATTTGAGTTATTTAATGAGTGGAGTCCAATGTTTTCTTGATTCATTAATAAAAGCCAAAATAAGAAGCAAATATATTTAATGAGTGAAGTCAAATGTTCTTAACGTTGATTGAATTTTACCAAGATTCTCATACTGTTCAAATAGGGATTGATTTGAGATTTGGAGTATTGCACACTAGGTGGTCCAGACCGTCAAGGAGATTGGTTCCTATGAAATTAGGTCAAAGGCCAGAATATGAATAAGGTTCAAAGTCAATGCTCTATATAGTTGTTTACACATGGAATCAAGTTAATTGCTTGATAGAGTAATAGATATTTGTGATTATGAAGTTGTTTACACAAAACTAAATTCACGTTGCTTCCATGGGCTGGGCTTCCCAAATTTTTTTTAAAATCACTTATCACCCCAAATAAGCAATACCAAACGAGCACTTAGTCTTCTCTTTAGTCTTCTTAGTTGCACTAAATTCATGTTGGTGTTAATAATAACTAGAAATTCCTAGTATTGTTGTAAACAATCAATCTAAGTGGAGGATTGTTGTATGAAATTTGGTATACAAATATCTAGAAATTAGCTTCACAGTTTCTTAGGTTCCATTTAATTTGGTATTTGTTTTTGTGTGATATATTTCTCTTAGGGCGTGTCAAATGGTAAAGCTGCAAGTAAACTATCTATTCTATGACATAATGCAATAGACTTATTCCAAAACATGAGTCTATTGTTTTGATTGAGTGTTTTAGTTTTCACATTCAAGTCATTTTTAAACTATATATCCTTAATTGATGATAATTCCTAATATTTTTAATTAGCTGAAATTTTTATGATGAGTTATTGGATGAATGTTGATGATTTTGTTTGTGGATAATGATTTATTGGATTTGATTAATATTGATGATTTTGTGTGTGGATAATGATTTGTTGGATTAGGTGACTATATATGATTATTTGATTTGTTGGAATTTATGGTTTATGATTTGTTGATTAAATTTTGTGATGGACTTCTTTTCCTCTCTGTTTGTGCATTTGTCTTAATTAAATTTGTTTCTAAAAAAAAATGATTTGTGGATTAATTGATATGACTGTTTGGTTTGATTAATTCATGTGTATGACAGAAAAGGTTGGGAGCTGCATTTGGAGTCTCATTTATTTAGCTTGCGAGCTTGATTTACTTCCCCAGGTTTTCATTCTCTTCCCTCTCGATCTCTGATTTTAATCTATTGGTTTGGAAAAGCTCATATTCAAGTAATTTTTAAACTCTAAATCCCTAATTGATGATAATGTCTAATATTTTTAGTTAGTTGAAATTTTTATAATGAGTTATTATACGAATGTTGATGATTTTGTTTGTGGATTTTTTGTTGAACTAGACGATAAACTGGACATTCGATCCAAATATAATTCAATCATTTCTTTATTTCGCAGCTTGGATACACCAAAAGCAAGGGACTAGACATTTTGATTATGTTGTCATTTTCGAGGTATAAAAACTCCTCCAATTCATTGTTTTGTTAAATTAAGCATTATGCCAATTTGCATTGCTGTGCTGTAAAAATAATCGCTGTCAGATTTACTGTGAGAGAAATCAGCTATGAGAGAAAGCAGTTTTGCGTTTGGTAAAATTTTTATTCAAAGTGTTGTTGGTATTGATTTTACGCATAATCAAAACATGATTGCCGCATAATCATTAAAACCAGCGCCTCTTCGAAACTGATTCTTGCATAATCAAAAAATGAAAGTACCTTATTAGCTGCTTTCCCTTATAGCTTTCTCTCATAGCAATTTTTAACAATAAGTGATTTTCTCATAGTTTACCAAACGGGTTGGGCTTCTCAAAATTTTTTAAAAATCACTTATCACCCCCAAATAAGCAATGCCTAACCAGCACTAAGTGTTGTTTGTACAATAATCAGTTTCTGAGTGTTTGGTAATTTTTTTGTAAAAGTACTGTGAGCTGTGTATAATAATTAAAAAGGGCATTATGTTGAAATGACTTTTCTATTCAAGTGTTTGGTAAAAAGAAAAGCACTTTCACCTTAACTTATATAATTTTTTTATATTAAATATGTTTCCATCACACTTTAAAAATTATTTTAATTATAAAATAAATTAAGTATTCCTGTAAATAGGTATTTGGGAATCGAGAGAGGAACTCTGAATTTGGGAAAGGCAGTCAAAACAAATGAATAAGAACAGGACTGTAAATTTCGTCTTGTGTTATTCACAGTGCTTACTCATGTAGCTCATGTCTATGAGTGTAGGTATCTTGATTATCATCGTTATACATTTTAGATTTAAGTATTTGGTTTCTTGAAACTTTGTTTTTAGTTGTGGTTTCTTATCTCTAGCCCATGTGTGATCTATAATTTTCTGATACTATGTGCAGGCCTGCTTAAAACAAATAAAAGAATGCAAGTATAGGTGGGTGTGGGTAATGGAAGATTTTGAAACTTTCAATTCTTAGATGACCCCTGAAGTAGAGTTTTCTTCCCCCTTCCTTAATATTTATTTTTTTAAATAATGAATATAGCATTGGTGCACAACATTTGGGACTGGAAGAAGACAAATACAACAATAAAATACTATGTGATTATTCTCTTCCCTTAAAATATTTGGGACTTGTAGTAGTTATAGTGTTTTCTGACTGTGATGTTTGAAATATAAATGGACTTTGTTTTAAATCTTTCATTGTTGCTTGTGCGTGGGGTTGGTTTGGAGATGAGATGCAAAGCAAAGAGCAATTTGTGTAATTGTGTTTGTGTATTTATCTGCATATGTATAACAACAATGACATGGTGATGATGGAGATTTGTGGACTCGGAGTGTTTTCTAAGAGTTGGTTTTTTTTTCACTCTCAATGTCATTCCTGCATTTTATTTTGTCTTTTAACTCTAGAAAATAAACACATGAAACTTGAAATTTTTTTATGTCTATGTCCTTGAATTTGGCTGACTTTCTTTTTCCCCTAATTGTTTTTTATGTGCAGCTCTTTTGAACTATAAGTTGAGTAAGAGTATTTCTTTTACTTGATGAAATAAGTCTCTCCAGGAATTGCAAAAAAAAAAGGTAATGGCTCTAAGCTTTAGGATTTTCTATTGAAAGCCTATGCTATTTGTTGTATTATAAGTCTGGAATGCATTGAACTTTGTGTTCTAATATAAGTATGTCACTGAATCTCTGTTTTTCTGCACAAAGTTCATTTCAGTTCATTTGAGTCCCAGAAAATTGAGTTCTCATAGCATTCAAATTTCTTCATTACATTCAATTCATTTCTTGGTCTTTTGGGAGGAAGTAAGAGAGATTTGAATCCTGTTTGTTCATTGCTCAAATAATTTCTAATTACAAAGATGTGATATGTATTGATTCTAATCTTGTTTTCCTATAGGATCTTGACAACAAATTAACAAGTTATTTGATTAATTTTTTTCACGAGGTATTTTCATTTTATTCACTTTAAGTATTTTTGTTATTGGGTGCTTTTTTTTTATGGAGCAGGGAAGGCATTGAAAGA